CCTTGCTAGGCACATATACACCATTGACATTCCCAAGGAAGACGACTTCCTCACCATACTCATGCTGAACGCCATGAGCGAGGATATTCCTCATGTGTGTAACCATGTTGCTGATGCCATCACTATTAGCACCCCATCCGCACCTTATGGTCCAACCAATATCAGATCCCGCCTTGAATTAGAACAACAACTCGTCGATAATGACAAAGGGAAGGGACCTGGCGACATTGCCATGATGGCGTCCAATAAAGGGAAGCCCAATCGAAGCCAAAACACTCAAGCTACTTGTACTGACTGCAGTCAATCCACCCACACCAATTGTTGCACTACTTGTGGCAGCTGGTGGCACTCTGCCAAGGACTGCTATGGGAAAGGGGGAGCTATGGAGGGTAAGAAGGATGAGGTCATTGCTCGTCATCGTGCTGCGCGCTCCAATGGCAACACTACCAGAACCCCTGGAATGTCTTCCTCACGCCCTACCAAAGGAGCATCAACTGGGAAGCCTGGTGGCCTGCGGTACGAGACTAGCAGTTGCACATATCTCCTAGACGCCGAGACACACAAGGCCATCTTCATTGCTGGTGCTCTGCCCCCTCCTACCCCAGATCCTAATACACTGACCCAAGAGTTTGCTGGACTCACATACAATGTCCCATCCTCCGCGTTCATCAAGGAGCTTCCTGAGGACACATACGATGCGCTATTTGCTGCTGTCAACTTGCAAGCCAGCATCGACTGGCGCACGCACAGCCAGCCCAACGACTTTGCCGGCCTTACTTACAAGGCACCGAATCAGCGTGCTTGTATGCCCATTGACCCGTCTATTGTGCCCTTCTTCCTTGACAGTGGTGCCTCTGTGCACATCAGTAACGTTGAGTTGGACTTCTATACCCTACGTCCTATACCTCCTCAAGCTGTCAACGGCATTGGAAACTCGTCAATTCAGGCTGTTGGTGTTGGCACCATTCGCCTAATCGTGGCAAAAGGCATCCATCTCACACTGGACCACGTCCTTTTCATCCTGAGTGCCATTGTCTGTCTTCTATCTGTCTCTGCCATGTGCACCGCACATCGTTGCATTGCGTCTTTTGATGCTACATCTTGCTGGGTCCAGGCCTGCAGCGGCACCCAAATGTTGACCAGAACCTTGACGTCTCGCCGTCTCTACGCTCTCTCGGGTGGACAACTGTCTGCTGACCACGCATATCTCACGCAACGCACTCCCACCCTTGAAACATGGCACAGACGCCTTGGCCACGCCAACTTCCGCTCTGTATACAACCTCGCTCATTCAGGTTTTGCTACTGGTATGCCAATCGACTTATCCTCCCTTCCTCCTGTTTGTGATGCATGTATCCTTGGCAAACAGACTAAGTCAAGCATACCAAAGGTTAGGGAGGGGACTCGTGCAGATCGCAGACTCAGAATCGTACATGTCGACCTGATGGAGCATCTGGATACTGTATCCGTCGCTGGAAATAAATACATAATGGATGTGATTAACAATTTCTCTTCTTATTCGTGGTCCATCCCCCTTGCCTCCAAAAGCGACGCCTTTCCAGCTCTGCAAGCTTGGGTCTGTGCACGTGAAGTTGAGACAGGTCTGACTGTTGGTATATTCCGATCTGACAATGGTGAGCTGAAATCAAGCAGGATGCGTGATTGGCTCGCCACCCACAGCACTTTACATCAATTCACTGCCCCATACACGTCAGCTCACAATGGCCATGTTGAACGATTACATTGTATGCTGATGGGTAAAGCTCGTACGATGCGCACATCTTGCATTGTGCCTGCTAACCGTTGGGATGAATTTGTCCTTACAGCCAACTACCTTTTGAATCGCACACTGGTTACCTCTCAGTCCGGTCACATTCCCTATGAAGCCTGGTTCAGTCGTAGGCCTGACCTTTCCCATCTACGAGAAATTGGTTTCCGAGCATTTGTTCTGATTCAAAATCGACACAATCCTAATATTTTCAACAGATCATCTGAATGTGTCCTTATTGGCTACTCGCTCGACTCGAAGGCTTACAGGTGCTACCACCGGGCCTCCAACAAAGTTTTCATTTCTTATAATGTCTCTTTTATTGAATCTTTTAATGACCATCCTACACCTTTGCATCCCGGCCAGTTGCTGCCTAATCCAAGCGCATCTTCAACGCCTGATGCGCCCACCATGGCCTCTGCCATCGCCACCCCTAGTTCTAGCCTTGAGGCAGGCAATGAGGCACTTGTCCCTCCTACTGGATCCACCAGCCCTTCAGGCCAGGCTCCCTCAATCTGTCACACTGCTCGTGCACATGTCCCTTCAGAGAAGTGTTGCGTGGCTAATGGTACTCCTTATGTACCTGCCGCCCAGCGTGCTGTGCTGGCAGCCATGAAAGCTGCCGAACATTTCCGTGCACTCGATGATGCACTCAAAGCGGACACCCCCGATATCGATCTTCAGGCACTGGAAGCTGAACTTGCCTTCCTGGCCGAGGCCTTTGTGGCTGTTCCTGACAACTTTGACCATGAGGTTGCCGATGATCCGGTCACCTATTGTGACACTATGGCTTCAGCTCACGCTCACGAATGGACCAAGGCACTCCAGGAGGAGTTTAATTCTCTCCGGGACTTAGGTGTATATAAACTTGTACCCCACTCATCCATGCCTGCAGGACGGAAACTGATGAAAGGTCGACTGGTTTTCAAGCTCAAACGGGACCAGGATGGTGCCCCCACTCGCTTCAAAGCGAGATATGTCTGTAAAGGGTACTCTGCTGTATGGGGGCAAGACTACACTAAGACATCAGCACCAACTGCGTGCCTTGAGTCCTTTCGAATATTAGTGCACTTGGGCGCGGCTCTTGACTGGGAAATCGAACAATTAGACATCAAAACCGCTTTCCTCTATGGACTCCTGGATTCAGATGAAGTCTGTTACATGGAACAACCAGAGGGTTTTGTCGCACCTGATTTCAAGGACCACATATGGGAGCTACAGAAAGGACTCTATGGCATGAAACAGGGAGGACTCATCTGGAATAAGATGCTCAACGATGCCATGATATCCTGGGGCTTTACGTGTCTTAAGAGCGAGCATTGCATATACTTCCACAAATCCACTGCCGGAGTTCTCCTCATCGCTATACATGTCGACAACTTCTTCACCATAGCCAGTTCCACAGACGCACTTCAAACATTCAAAGCCAAACTGCGCACAAAATGGGAGGTTGCCGAACTAGGCAATGCTCATTTTTGTCTCGGCATTGCCATTGAACGTGATCGTGCAACTCGGACGATCAAGCTCTCCCAAACTGCTCTTATTGACCGTGTCATCAAACAATTCAGTCTCACCAACGCCATCCCTTGCATGATACCTATGGAGCCAGGATAATGCCTATCCCACCGTGACCACTTGCCAAAGACAGTGGCAGAACGGGAACTCATGACCTGCACCCCATACCACTCACTTGTAGGCTCCTTGATGTACCTTGCCATTGGGACACGACCCGATATTGCATACGCCATTCAGAAATTATGTAAATTCCTGGACTCATATGGACCCACTCACTGGGAAGCTGCAAAATGTGTCATACGGTATCTCAAGGGCAGTCACACTACCCAGCTCATCCTTGGCGGTGAACATGTGACCCATCTTCTCGCCTATACTGATAGCGACCTCGCAAGTTGCGTGGACACCCGTCGATCTGTGAGTGGCTACTGTTGCTTTCTCGGACTGGGTGTGGTTACCTGGAGCACGCGTCAATAAAAGACCGTCGCTTTATCCACCTGCAAAGCAGAATATGTGGCGGCATCTGAAGCTGGAAAAGAGGTCACTTGGATCAGAATGCTACTACATGAACTGGGCTTCCCACAGACATCCGCTTCGCCACTTATGTGCAATAACAATGGTGCTATTGTCTTGACTGAGGATGCTTCCTACCACACCAAAGTGAAACATATCGACATCATGTACCATTCTATCAGAGAGCGTGTCAACCGACGACAACTGAAGGTTCACTATGTTCAGACACACGAGAACCTCGCCGACATCTTCACAAAGGCCTTGCAAAGAAGGATCATGGGCACTTGCAAGATTACCTTGGTCTACGATGATGAAGTTGAGGAGGAGGCCTATCGCGTTGAGGAGGAGTATTGGCGCATTAACACATGACAATGTGATATGGCCCAGCAGAGTATCATGCAGGAATTCAAACCATTACTTAAAAGACTTTCATTTGTTCCCTCTTCCCTCAGTTCGTTCTTCCACGACTGAGGGTAAGTTCTTTGTTTTGTCATACACTACCTAGACACTAATATGGCTACCATAGTCTGACATTGTCTAGGTACATATTAATTAAGTTTGTTCTTCCATGACTGAGGTCTGACATTGTCTAGACTCTATATAGCATCACAGAAGTACTGATTCTATGTAAAAATAAATGTCATGTAGTCATAAACATATATATAACAAGATGGTATACTAATAATTATGTTTTATTGAGAAATTGTGTAGTGTGCAGCCCTGTGCAGCGCTGTACATAGGGTTAGGGTTTTGCTGATGTGTATAATGTCACGTAACCCCCCCGCCACATTGTCGACGATTGTTGTGTTTGTTATCAATATATAGTCTACTATGACAATTTACATAATATGTTCATCGGTTCACTGATGACAGACAGTAGATCGAAGACAGTTTCCTCTGCGACCCGCGTATGCAACTACATTTAATGTGTGTCGCTCGACTCCCTTTGCTCAATGCTCACGGTCATTTGTACACAGCATTGCTGAGGGTGAAAAGACATTATTCTATTTCCTGAGTTGCTACTATAAACACTATATCGTCCAGGAGCCGACCGAAGGGGTGTCCTTGTGGCGTGCAAGGCTCGAAGACAGTGGCATGTACAATAGAGAAGACAATTCGGAGGTTCAAAGTACACTAATGTAAAACGACTGTATTTAAGGCCCACGAAACAATGAATATCGGGCAGACGCGGGAACAGGGGAAAAGGTGAAGGATGGGGAGCAAAGTACTTGGCCTATGGCAACATCAAAGAGTGTAGAATAACAAGCAAAGGAGCGTGGTAAGAGAGTTTGATAAAATCGGAATGAATAGGCGACAGCGCCACCGTTACAATCAGACAGGAGTAAGAATGGGCATACGGGTATGAAAGGACAACTGCCATGGCACAATGGTACCTGCAATCATACGACCTTATCTTCTACAAACATTCTCTGCGCACCGTTGTCCTGTAGGGTCACCTTCATGCCCTCGTTGGCGATAATTCCGTCGTCGTCGAAATCTTGGAGTGTCAGACCCCCGGCAGCAGCTGCCATAATGAGATGAAGGGGGTTCGACGCATTGAAGTTGATCCTATTGCCAATGTTCTTTTTCTCAGCATGCAAGATACTATACAAAGTGCAGGCGACTGTGAGGATGGTTATGATGGTGATGGGAAGGATAGCGAGAAGAGATATCATCGACCCCCGAGTCCAACCTATCGTCGATATGTACATTGTTCCATTGATTGGGGAGGAGAGGTTGTCCGGGATGGTATTATCGGGGAAGCTACCCACAACCATAAACCCAGAGCGGAGGAACTGCCGAACCATGCTGAGTCAATCTCGATTGGACCTAAGGGATCAGAACACTCACCGTGGCAGAAAACTCAACAACGCCACGCCAATATTCCTCCTAACAAAGGCATAAACTTAACGTGGGCAAAGACCTTGCGACACAAAACTCACCAGCTCTTTGTAAACCTGCGTTTGATTTCCAAGATTGTCGTCGATAGATGTATTAGTTGTTGAGGAATAGACGGTGTACAGAGTATCTCCGATTGCGCTGCTCGTAAGCCCCTGTGAGCTGATTGACTGAAACTTGGCAGTTCCAATGACGAACGACAGAAGTTGTTCATTCTCTGGTTGAAAAGGGGTGGATGAAATGACCTCGGAAGAAATTAGGTCACTGGAATAGTTGGCGCGGACTGTGGTCAACAGCGGAGTCACCTCGCACACGCTTGCGTCAAGGAACCTATATTTGAAAAATCCTTGTGAGATAATCGCTATAGGAACAGAATCGGTCAAAGGCTACAGACGCGTGCTTTAATGCTCACTGAAGCTTGTATAAGTTTGATTCAGATCCGTAGGCCCCGGGCACACAACGGAAGGAAGAAAGCCATTCCTTAACACGTTTGCATTTCCATTTGCATCCGCCATGGTCACATATTCCTGCGTCATGGACGTATCTAGGAGCTAACAGTAAATCACCGGTAAGATGTATGCGGTCGGAACTCACTGGCACCGCAGTTTGCACTTATATTCCACAGGCGAAGACCAGTGATGGAGTCGTTCGAAGCAGCCGAGTTGGCATAGACGAGGGAGGAGTTGGCCGTGTTCCAACCATACTGCGTTTGACTCGGGTCAATGGGCCGGCAGCTGACATTGGCTGTTAACCCCTGCTGCCACATCGAGTAATTTCTGCTGAAGCCTTGGGGAATGGACACGCTGGTGTGTTCTCCCGGTATCGGTCCTAAGTTGACTGTGACGTTTCCGCCAGAAAAGCCGAGACGAGTGCCATTAGCACTTGGAATTCCATCTGAACCTGAATAATCCTCGATGGCGGGCACAATTCCCTCTAGGCACACGACACATCATCACAAAACAGCTTCAGGTGATGCGAGGACCTGAACTTACGAGTAGATACATTATATTTTGCGCCATTGAAATTAAACGTGCCAGGAAGACCATAGTTATACCCTGCAGCAGAGACTCCGCTTAACATTCCGCCGATGTCGAGAATCTCGAAGGAATTGTCTTGGACTTTGGTTGTTCGTTTTAGAACAAATGTACGAAACACTGGGAAAGCGGAGATACGCACTGGCAGTGAGACCCTGAATTCGAAATTCTTCGAAGAGCAAGGTGGAAAACGCGGATCCAGTAATGTCAAGTTCGGATCCTCGCATCTCAACTGGCCATAGAAAGTAAGTCGGTGTCAGGAGAGTCGTCCACCTGTATCAGCACTTAAGTTAGACAACACAGCAAAAATTGCTCTCAGTAATGAGTTACCCAGCTGTCAAAAGTCTCAGGACACCAAAGGCGAACAGCGTCATGGTGGTTAGTCGTAAGTGCTCAGGTCTCAACATGATGGAGCCCTTCGCCAAAGCGACACCGGCGCTTAGCTGAACGAGAGAGATGGGCTGCAATATCCGATGTCTCAATGCCTCCTTGATCGAAAACGTGAAAGCACTAGGAAAATGTTTATCCCTATGTGAATGGAAAACTACAGGGAGTAAAGAGGTATACAGACGCAGCGGTAGTGACCGAAAGCACAGTTGCTATCAATGAGGCTATCATGGCCAACTCTCCGGGGTAATGGCTCCACAAGTTGCTGACTTGATCGGGTAGAGAGAGGTAATCATAATAGAGAACTGTACCAAGAAACGTATACCCAAATACCAGGATAATTGCCTGGCTACTGATGATAGCGGTATGCAATAGCCTGAAGCGTGCGGCCACAGGAGACATCATAGAAGGAGTGTGGGTGGTGCAGAATCGACCCTGATACAGATCGAACCGACAAATATTTAAGGTGAAAAAAGAAGGGAAGGGAAGTATGTGAGGGATTGGGAGCGAGGATTTATTGAGGGCATTTTATATGAGTGAGTGTGCGTGAGATGCAAGTACGTACGTTTGCAGATTGCATGCTAGTAGACACATGTTATTGTACCGGACAGTTAACCTAATTCAGGGATTGTACTCAAATACGAATTCGGAGCCTTGATCGATTCCGAAATGAGGTGTTAAACCATCAGTCACTGATCCGAAATACATCACAATTCAAAGGCCAACGTAAGAACGTAATGACAAGACCTTGACGAGACCTCGACAATCTTGTCAGCTGCAAATTTGCTTCACTTACCCTAGCAGGAACAGCGGCGTCAAAAACAGGCTCTTCACCATGAACAAGACAACTTTCTGGCGTTCGTCAACACCAAAGGCACCACCTAAACATTCAACCTACGACTCGAGTTGTTCTTTACCGATCTCTTTGCTTACTTGCTGGCATCCGTGCTCCTCTGGCTCTCAAGTCAAGTTTCATCAGTGCATGCGTTATTGCGGCGTGAGCCCTCAGGCTCCACCACACCTAACTTCACCCGTCCGTCATCTTCGCTCCCCTCGTCCTTCTCCGGCGATTGAAGGCGCCCTTTTTGTGCCCACACCCTCGTATGGCCACCATCGTCGTTCTCTGCCAAAGCCTGTTTTCCCTCCCTCAAATTCATCCTACAACAACGCCAGAGTCGTATGGAGAATTTAGATTTGTACTGCTCGTATCTTATCGGCATCGTCATCGGCAGGTATTTCAAAACACGAGCCTGCACCGAATATCCAGGCATGGTGCACTCAATCGCCAACGACACGACAGTCACAGGAGCAGTTGCGGATACCATCGAAATGGCAGCATAGGCAAGGTAGGTGCCATACGTATCTTGTATCTCAGGAGCAGGTCAGCTTTTGCAGGAGTTTTTACGCAGCAGAAATTAAATTCTCTCCACTCCAGATTTCAAAATCTCAAAGGGAGTTATTTTCTGCGCTTTGTTTCGGATGGGACTGAGTTCGAGGAAGCGAAAGTGCAGATGTCTTTCTGGGCCGACTCTGAGCGAGCTGCGACTAAGGATATCGAAGAGATGATCAAACAAGCGGGATCGTCCGCTCGTCAGCGGTGGCACCTCTGAGGCTCTGCAGAGAAATATCCACGAAATCATTCTGAACAGCAGCGCACTGCTTTGTTCCAGGCGGCCATACGGGCTGACTCAGAACATGATGCCATTCGCGAGAACAGACATGTAAGGTATTTCTGTTCAGGGAAGACCGCCAGTGGCAGAGAAACCAGGTCTCAGAAACTGCCAGTGACAAAGCCATCAGCGTCCGAGCACAGCAGTGGCAGGTCTCGCGACGAACTCAGTGAGGCCACGATCGGGTCTTCGAAAGGACAACCTCGATCATATGTGACGTCCATTATCGTCACTTGCAGTACATCCTCGCCGGTCGTAGACAGGAACGCATATTAAGCACGACCTGCCATCAGAATATCTTTCAAGTTGATTTGGTGAGCACATATGCATTAATACGGATCATGTGATAGTACACCTCTACCATTCTCACTACAATATAGTTCACGGAACTGACGGTGTAGCCGAGAGCGTCCCTATTCCATGCGGAATGCACGAACATGATGACAGTCTTCAGTTTGGCGAAAGACTTCATCCACTCCTATATCACATTCTAAAACCAAAAACAATCACATTTATTACTCTATAGTTGACATCGTGCACTACGAATGTCAAACAACATCAGCGGGTTAGATCGTGCTACAGAGTGCTACGGAGCGCTTCGTAGCACTCTGTAATCATGTGTAATGAGTTACGTTTCCCTGATGAAGACTAAGTTAAGTGTGCATACAGCTGAGAACAGACACTACCATTACACGATATGGCTGAAAATCATGCATCCCGTTCGCGTTTCCCGACCTCGCTCTAACATCAGGTTGAGAGCCGGGGGGAGTGGAGTTCCTCCAGGTGAACCTTCACAACCTCATTTTTCTTGATCCCCTTGCGATGGCCGAAATCTGCCAATTTGAGACTTCCAGCAGCGCATAGCATAACGAGATGAATTGTGTTTGACACATTGAAGTGGGCCTTGTGGGTGTGATTTCGATGCTCCTCCAAAGCCTCCAGAAGACTATACAACGCGCAGGCGAAAGTGAGGATGGTGATAATGGTGAGCGGCACTGTAGCGAGCAGATATGTCGGCGAGTTCTTAGTCCAGCGAGTCCAGCCTATTGTCGATATGAACATGGTCCCGTTGACTGGGGAGGAGATGTTATTCGGGATGATATTATCGGGGAAGCTGCCTGTGGCCATGAACCCGGAGCGAAGGAACTGTAAAATAACGCTAGGTCAATTTAGACTACACTGAACAGACCAGTAACCTCACCGTGGCGGAAAATTCAACAACACCACGCCAGTAATCCTCCTGAGAAAGTTATGAGAAGTGGATCAAGATTGTGCAATGTGAAACTGACGAGCTCAAGGTAAACCTGCGTGTCATTGAGATTGTTGTTGACGTATTTAGTAGTAGTCGAAGAATAGATAGAGTACAGCGTATCCCCAATCGTGCTGCTCGTAAGTCCCTGCGAGTTGATCGACTGATACCTGGCAACTCCAGCGATAAATAACAGCAGCTCGGCATTCTCTGACTGGAAGGGAGTGGATGAGGTGACCTCGGAAGAAATTTGTTCGTTGGAATAATCGGCGCGGACTGTGGTCAACAGGGGAACCACTTCGCACACGCTTGCTTTAAGGAAATCGTACTTGTAAAACCCTTGTGTAAAAATGGCTACAGAAACAGGTTCGGTCAATGACTCCCGACGTGCATATTTCAAGGGCTCACTGAAGCTTGTATAATTTTGGTTCGTATCCGTTGGTCCTAGGCACACAACAGATGGAAGAAAGCCATTCCCTGATAAGTTTCCACTTCCATTTGCATCAACCATGGTCAGATATTCGTACGTTGTCGAGGTATCTAGAAGCCATCAATGAACTCAAGAAAAGATATCTAATATCCGAACTGACTGGTACCACAGTTTACACTGATATTCCACAAGCGAAGGCCAGTAATGAGGTTGGTGCTCGATGCAGCTGGGTTGGTATAGATGACGTTAGAGTTGTTCGTGTTCCAAAGGTACTGCGGTTGACTCGAATCAATGGCCTGGCAGCTGACATTCGCTGTTAACCCTTGTTGCCACATCGAATAGTTCGTGCTGAAACCTTGAGGAATAGGTACGCGAGAGTGTAATCCGGGTACGACTCCTGTGTTGACTGTGACATTTCCACCGGAAAACCCGAGACGAGTACCATTAGCATCCGGAATTCCATCCGAACCGGAAAATGCCTCAATGGTAGGCACGACCCCCTCTAGTTGCACAGTATTGCAAAATCAGTTGGAGTGAACTGAGAGACTAGACGTACGAGTGGATATATTGTATTTTGCACCATTAAAATTGAATGTCCCGGGAAGACCGAAGGTAAACCCTGCAGCAGCAACTCCGCTGAGCATTCCACCGATATCGAGAACTTCGAAAGCATCGTTCTGGACTTCGTTATCCCATTTCACAAACGACTCGGTAACTGGAGTAGAGATACATACTGAGACCACTTGCCAGGAATTCTTTTTGGAGCAAGGTGGCAAACGCGCTTCCAGTTATGTCAATTTCGGATCCATTCAACTGTACTGGCCACATGAAGTAGGCCGGTGTCAAGAGAGTTGTCCACCTATAACTTCATTCGAACGAGAAGATTTCGATAATGGTTTCAGGGAAGACGCACCCGGCCGTCAAGAGCTTCAGCACCCCAAATATAAACAGCGTCAGGACTGTCAATTCCATGTGTCGATGGCTGAGAATATGAGAGCCCTGTGCTAAAGCGACACCAGCACTCAGTTGAATTAGTGAAATGGGCTGGCATATCCTATGTCTCAGTGCCTCTTTGACGGAAAGCGTGAAAAGGCTGGTGGAAAAAATCACATTTCATGAACGATCAGTCGAAAAGAACAAAAAGTAGACGGACGTAGCAGTGATGACTGATAGCACAGTTGCTATCAATGCGACTAGCATTGTTACCTCCCCAGGATGGCTCTTCATTGCCTCGCAGACTGAATCAGATGGAGCAAGGTACTCATAGTAAGCAACAGCACCAAGGAATCCGTATCCAAACGCCAGGATGAAAATCTGGGTAATGATGATGATTGTGTAGTGCACAAATTTGGTGTGAGTATGAGGCATCACAAGAGAAGAGGTAGACGCAGAATCCAGCTGTCTCTCACTCGCATAGAAATATTATATACTTGCTGCATGTACGCCACTGACACAGCCCGGACTCTAGAATTAGTCGAGCTGCGTATGCGCAAGATGCACACGATGACGATGATCAGCCACGCAGCCACTCTCATTGCGTCACTTAAATTTCAATTGTCCCTAGATAAGTCCTCGGGAACTTGAAGACAAGGGCATACTGAAGATGTGAGATCCAACCTCCCCCTTGGAGTGACCCTGTTGGAGGTTCAGATTCATGAATGGTACCAACATACGTATACAAAAACTTGCCAGCACAGTTTGCCTTTGCGGAATCTCAGCCCTATGGATACTTCAAAGAAGCTCACTGGGATACTGGGAGAAATGCGCTTAATTTAATACCTGCAGCAAATTGCATGCTCAGCGTACGGTGAGTCCAGATCATCCTCCGAGTTTCGAGGGACATGCGAGTGGAAGAGACCGAATGACCGGTGCCGCGTTGTCACACTTTCCGTGTTGATTAATGCTTATGTAAGCGGCTTACGACTGGCCCTACGAGACTATACAGTAGTTCTCAGTCACGGTATAGATGTCATAGCAGCTCAATGAGTCGGTGCAGACACTACCGTCCGGCTACGTTCCAGGCCGAGGCTTGGAAGCGTAACGAAACCTATCATGCATCGCTATATATGAAGTTGCTGTGCCATCATCAACGTAATTCCTACGCTGGTATCTGCAAGGTATTGGGGTGCGGTCCCGGCACCGGCACCTACATGGTGGACCGCAATTCTGATACGCCTAGCCGTTTCCTTCCTTCCATGCTCGCCGATTCCATCACATGCAGGACGACCTCGCAGACGGTCGTAGGCAGGAATGCATATTTAGTACGGTCTGTCATCAGAATATCTTTCAAGTTGAATTGGTGAGCACATAGTAAACGGGCGGGCTCGTTCGTGTACCAAACTTGTACCGGATGAAGCCTGGGAAGCCTGCGGACTGTCGGAAGAAAGTCCTCAGTATCTGGGTTCAATTCGAGAGTGGTCGCATTTAAAAAGGTGGCGTATAACATAGTTTCCTGTAACACGAAATGTGATGTTTTGTTCAAATTAAGTGAATGATTGCTTGTCATTTGGACGCTCTGCTACCACTTACCACATCCAAGTTGTCCCCAATGGGAAATGAAATCGAAGGTATCAGAATAGGCACTATAGAATTCCCATCCTGACAGTTAACTTCTGCGGTGGTATAGTTCTTTCCAAGACCTCGAAGAGGGGAACCAAAAAGGTGGCGATCTAGGTCGATTATCACATTGAAACCACTTGTAAAAGCAAGTCCGTATGTGGTTTAAGCAACAGGAGAGCTGCTATAATCAGAATCGTTCACGGCAGGGATGAGACCATCTTGTCGAATGCGCTACCACGAGCTTTCAACAATACATGGAAATAAAGTCTCACTCCTTGTCGACCCGCTGTACGAGACTCTATTGTGAGTAGGCTAGGCAACATGAAGTCAAAACATACCGTTGTCGTCTTGCGCAAGTTTCAACTGACCTCGTCGTGATCACGGATAGTACGGTGGAGATTAACACAGTCAAAGTTGTCGGATGCTCGAGAATTGATGACCGTCCAATTTGAGAGGGCCATGTACTGGAAACACCAAAGGGCGCCGATAAAGCACCATCCAGAAACAATAAGAACGGTCTATGCAATGTCCATGGATGCCTTTAATGGAAAACTACAACGGATGAACGTGGTGCCTGTCGGTGTCCTTAGCATCGTGCAAGGAGGGCAAATGAAAAAGTGGACATACCTTGAATTCGAAAGGCAACGAGGCTATCGTTGGGAACATTTGAGGTGAACACACAATAGAGGACATATTTCCGAATAGCTGACATGTTCATTTCTCGCGACGCACTTCCACGCTTGGCGTCTATGGCTGTGACCACACGATAGAGGACATATTTCCGAATGGCCGGCACGTTCATCTTCCATGCTTGACATCTATGGCTGGGCAGCATGCGTGGGTCGGTTGCGTTCATGAGACGTTCTGATGCATTCCTTTTGCAAACTTGAATGATCCATGAGTAGATCGACGGTTTAGAGTCCCTCATTTTTTATTGTGGAGCCGGGTGATACAATCGGTCGGGACCCGTCCGTCATCGGAGAAGTTTTTCAAACAGTTAAAAATGCATGGGAGTGGGCGGCTGAGTCGAACCTGTGCGCGATTAACGGATGATATGAGGGTTTTTCGGCGGTCACTACGGCGAAACGCATTTGCAGTGCAGTATGCATGTGAACTACTTGATGGAATGGAACTGTGATCCCCACAAATGAGCGCCAGCTTTATAAATGCGCTCGTTAAGCAAGAGAGCACTTATTTGAATTGGAGACCTACCACCCAAATAGAACTGTCCGACCGTTTTATGGTAGATTCCTTTCCCCTAAGTTCTGACCTACAAACTGTGCAGCCAGACAGGAAATTCAAAATTGGAAAACTTCGAGGTCTAGACACGGATCCGAGTCGACTAACTTCTGCCTCCGAGTGCTACTGACCTGAGCAACGAGGCACTTTCAAGTTGAGGTATAATACGCTTGGGGTCTAATACTTGACGCCAACGTTAACCTGGTAGCCGTGGTACAGCGTGCAAATAATCTCGGACGGAGCAGGGTGAGGTAGAATGGAACGTTGTAATAGCGCGTATACATCACCCGGGGCCGGACCTAACTTAGTTCAACGAGCACAGGCCAGGGATCAGTACTAGTATGGAACCTTGAATGTTGATTGCGCCATACGGCTAGATGAATTCCCTCTATGGCAAGTATAATTTTATTCCGTGCTTCTGACCTATGCACACTCGAGGTCAACGTTAACGTCCGACTCAGAGAAGACTGGTGTGCGTACAAAAATAAACATAAAATAGGATTAAAGGAGGCCAGCAACCGGCATCAACAAAGCCACGGCAGAGCGGAATCAATCGCAATTCATGCCGGCAGTGGGCACCACCTCATTTCCTTTTCACCCTGACCTATAAAACTGAGTCCGAACGTGAATGTGACTGCCAGAACCAACGGGTGTTCAAGCAACGAATCAAAAGCCAATGTTAAGTCGTTTGCAAATGTTATTGACGACCCGCAGATTCAAGACTTGTACACATTGGATGGCCTGTGCAAGTCCGTAACGGTAATACAGAAAAAAATTCAGTACAAACACATGTACAGGCCACAAGGCCTCGACATGACCTCCTCTGCTCACCCCATCTACGCGTGGTGAAATTTGACGGGGACCATGGGATAATCACCGAACATCAGCATATAAATCTGGGCCCAGGGGTTGCTCCTGTGATCTGACCACCAATAAACGCAGAAGATCCGAATCCCACCAGCGGATCCAGCGCGCGGATGTGCGTCGAACAAAAAAGCTTCCACCAGAAGGTCGTTGTCAAGGTAAATGAGGAAGCAAAGAAACTGTGTGAACCGCCGTCAAGCTGCCCAAGAGTTCCTGATGTCTGCAATCATGAAGAATGGCATGCTTCGCACTGTGTCAGTGAATGAATGAACGAGCTGGTCAGTTTCTGCAGGGAAGTATGCAGTTATGGGAATGCGTTTACAGCCGTCCGTACGTCAGAAAAAACTGTGATGTGCACTGAAGATGTGAAATTGAAATTACAGCAGTTCAACGGGTAAAGGAATCTGATACGGGTTGCTACCACGGTGTGCAGTGCAGGGTGAGGAGATTGGAGAGGAGCTTCCACGCTGTTGAGTCAGTCTGTGTACGATGCAGATGTTCAAGCCGGGCAGTGAATGTACCAATGCATCTTCCATGCCAGGATCGTTTAAGTTCTTCAATCGTTCGATATGGCACAACGTATTCCAATTGATCTAACAGCATAAGGGACAGGATGTCATATGTTGAGCCGTCCAGTATAGGAAGAGAAAATGAAAATGGTCGATGGAATGATTTCCAGGAGCTAAAAAGAGCGATTTTCTTTATGTCGGTGATCACGATCCCGAGTCCCGAGTCATAGCCGGTCCGAATCGTATGTACATGTTTGTTTTTGATTTCTCAGCTCTTCAACTGCATTACCGGAACCATTGCATCATGACTGCCTTCGTCGTCTTCTAATTTGTCATTGATATTGACTTCGCCTTTGATCGTGCCTCCCGTTTCGCTGGTCGTGTCGGATCTGGAGTCCCTTGATGATGGGACGTCTGTCGTGTGACATGTCTTCCCAAGCTCTTCGAGTTTTTGAGGTTTCTCGAGTTCAATAAGGAGCTTGTGATTAATATCCGGTCGGACGTGTATTTCCCGTTTCTGCCCCTACTCATGGTACGTCCTGGAGAAATAAAAAGAGTATCATAACTGGACGCAACGGTAGATGAGCCTGGAGTCATTGAGATGCAGCCCGTGTGTATGTTGTGCACAGATTGTCCCAGCTGGGAAATTGGTGTTGGTTGATATCCAGGACGGTACTGTTGCATTCACCTCACAATGACCGTCGATCTTGTTGATCAGCCTTAGTATCTAACTCACGACAACAGCCTGTCAATTCTGTGGCCAATTTCCAATATCTCGGGCACGAGAGGCTTCCACCGTCAGACTGTACAGCATTTTTGGAAGCCTCGGTTTACGATTTGATGTCGGTATCTCGAGCTCGCGCGTCTCAGATGACTCATCATCATGCATATAAACTGTCGTTCGGGCAGAATTAGAGCCTTCTCAGCGATACAACAAAAGGAACAGCACGATATTCCACCAATGACAATTTACACGTCTCTGACACTATCCACCGTTATTTTACACCTTTATAGGAATTGTATGCAGTGGTTAGACGACGCACAGGCCTGAATCACCACCGAGGCAGTTGGACCTATCATGCTAAGATCCCTTTGGGATTTGTCGCTTTCCATGGGACAAGGCACCTCATTTTTGCATTCAAACCCTAGACTCTGGAGTTGACTTCAACACACCGCCCGATATCAAGTCACCTCGAGGAGATGAGCAAGGGCAACGGCCCCTCGGGTGGTTTAGGGCGATGATAAAACCGGTGACACATGTAACCGAGTATATATCAAGGTAAGCATGGTTGCTGCTTCCCGGCATCTGCTATGAAGTTTGAAATAATGTCAAGATTGCGCTATCGCTCTTGGATCTTTTGATGTTCCCCAGGCTATTCGAAATGTTGCTTGCTCCTCCGGCAATCTCACATTAAGGGGAATGTATCCCTCGTCGCATGCCTGGCATGCAGCTGATATATGTATTCGAGATGCGTGATAGCTGTTCTCAATTTCAACAAAGAAGTATCGCTCGAGCAGCTGCTAGAACTCTCTTTAGGGGAGAATGTATTAATGTGCGAGCTATGTCAGATCGGTTCACCCAAACCTTTGTCGAGACTTCAAGACGTTACAGGACTGCTACTTGATCAATACAGCTTCATCTGAAGATGTCGTTCGTACAACTCTTCGAGCGCAAGCGATCAGTCTGCTCTATGGTGCGGAATAACATTTGTTGACTTGCTAATCAAGGTTCTGCCTGGTCACAACAACCATATCATGGGACCACGACAGTGCCCAATCCTCGATTCGTCAATGCCTGCCATAGGAAACAGAGCAAGTTCCATCACAGTCTATGCACATGGTGCAGGTTCAACAAAAACAACCACCCAGCAGGTTCCATCTGCATCCATACAGAACCGTCGAGTGAACACTGGATCGTGTATTTGAGTTTGTCACCCTGGATTCTAATTAATTTAGAACCACTTACTGGTGCATTTAGGGCCTTTCGACCTACAAACACGAAGCTTGGCATGAATGTATGCTGCTCACTGCACCATTGTGGCAAATCGACGATCAGGACCGTCTTGCAGTACTGCTTCAGAGGCATTTGCTGATATTACGTGTGGTGAGCTGCACCTTTGACAGCTTTCTTCACCATGGAGCTCCGTGATGGATCGGGACTTGCGGGATTCGATGATGTGTAGCATGCGACTATCCTCCGTCGATTTCTGGAACGCAAAACGCTTCTTGGGCTGCGAATATGGGATTCCCGAACTTGTGAGGAACATGGCCTTTGGCGGTCTCTTGCAGACCTTTTTAAGATATTCTGCTTGCGAGTGCGTTGCTCCTCGATGTAGTATGATTCGTGAATTACTATGGACACACGTCATCTGAGATTGTGGCAACATACTATGGGCTGAAGCCTTGTGGTTGAAGAACATGGCTTACTGAAACGTCACAGGGAATACGCTGAAGATGACATGGACTAGAATTCTTGGTGATTGAGGCGCTAATTAATTTGGCAGTCCACGATGTCCAGCAAGCTTGTCCGTCCGCTGTGCTTCGTGTCTATTACGACCTGTAATGATCAAGTGTATGTTGAGTATATTTCTTTGGTCCCAGTAGCTGCGTAGGCGCATGGCATGCAGTGCTGCAGATCTTTTGTTGGAAATGGGCCGCATCAATATCTGAGTACTAGTAAGTAGCTAAACACGATACTTTTGAGTATGCGTTCATCATATAAGTTAACGGTCGTTATTGTCTTATCATCGATTCACCTCTCCGCACACAATATTATCTGGCTTGCGATAAGTTGAACCACATTAGCTTGAGAGCAGTCAGGTTTGAGCTAAGCTGTTATGCAGTATGAGTGAAATTTCCATACCCCATGCTCGAACGGGCCATCAATAAAGACTAATCGCACCTGACAGGATGCAGGTTGACCATTGAGATTGACAGTCAGAAAGTTGCACTGGGCATTGAAAGAAGGGCGTCTCATCTACGTGTTTCCGTTTGTCATCTTTACGATGATCGGGCTGTTATTGCCGTCGGATTTAGTTTGAAGAACGAACTGCAACATCTACGGAGAGACAATGTTGTGTGTTTGATGACTGCGGCCCCATTCGCCTCATCACGGGTACTGCGGCTGGCGGGTCAGAAGGGCAGCTGTATGGTCTTGAGCACCATGGTGGCTTGAAGAGGAATGAAGAAATCGAGATTCGGCACGTGGGGGAATTGGCAAGCATGGAAGGATCCAGAGGGCTTTAGGGGTATCATGCATCATGTACGGCCCACCATGCAGGTGCCGGTGCCGGAATTGCACCCTTAGCGTAGGAATTACGTCGATGACACAGCAACTTCATATATCATAGCAATGCATGATGCATTTCATCACGCTTCCGAGCGCCTCGAACGGAGCCGGGTAATAGCGTCTGCGCCAACTCATCGAGCTGTTATGCCATTTATACCAAGATCTGTAGTCTCGTAGTCACACTAGCAAGTCGCTTACATAAGCTTCAATGAACACATACCGGGAAGGTACATCTACTTGTCATGTTCGTAACAGAGAGTGGTTGCGTTCCTGATCATCTTCATAGTCCAGGCTGTGTCAATGGCGTGCACGCAGCAAGGGTCAGGTATATATGGTGTCTATGCAAGTGATAGACAGCATGGATTCTGCGTCTACCTCTCCTCTTATGGTATCTCATGCTCACTCCAAATTTGTGCACTACACAGTCATCATCATCAGTCAGATTTTTATCCTTGCATTTGGATACGGATTTCTTGGTGCTGTTGCTTACTATGAGTACCTTGCTCCATCCGATTCAGTCTGCGAGGCAATGAAGGACTATCCTGGAGAGGTAACAATGCTGGTCACATTGATAGCAACTGTGCTATCAGTCATCACTGCTACGTCCGTCTACTTTTTGTTCTTTTCGACTGATCGTTCAGTGAGATGTGATCTTTCCACCAGTCTTTTCACACTTTCGGTCAAAGAGGCACTAAGACATCGGATATGCCAGCCCATTTCTCTAATCCAACTGAGCGCTGGTATCGCTTTGGCACAGGGCTCTCATATTCTGAACCATCGACACATGACATTGACGGTCTTCACACTCTTTGTATTTGGGGTGCTGAAGCTCTTGACCTGCCGGGTGCGTCTTCCCTGAAACCATTGTCGAGACCTTTCTTCTTATCTGAGTGATGTCACAGGTGGACAACTCTCTTGACACCGACCTACTTCATGTGGCCAGTACAGTTGAATGGATCCGAAATTGACATAACTGGAAGCGCGTTCGCCACCTTGCTCCGCGAAGAATTCCTGGCAAATGGTCTCAGTATGTATCTCTACTCGAGTTAACGAGTGGTTTGTGAAATGGGATAATGAAGTCCAGGACAACGCTTTCGAAGTTCTCGATATCGGTGGAATGCTCAGTGGAGTCGCTGCTGCAGGGTTTACCTTCGGTCTTCCCGGGACATTCAATTTTAATGGTGCAAAATACAACATATCTACTCGTACGTCTAGTCTCTCAGTTCACTTTAAACTATTTTGCGATACTGTGCAACCAGAGGGGGTCGTGCCTACCATCGAGGCATTTTCCGGTTCGGATGGAATTCCGGATGCTGATGGTACTCGTCTCGGGTTTTCCGGTGGAAATATCACGGTCAACACAGGAGTCGTACCCGGATCACACTCCAGCGTACCTATTCCTCAAGGTTTCAGCACGAACTATTCGATGTGGCAACAAGGGTTAACAGCGAATGTCAGCTGCCAGGCCATTGACTTGAGTCAAACACCGTACCTTTGGAACACGAACAACTCTTACGTCATCTATAGCAACCCAGCTGCTCCGAACAACGACTCCATTACTGGTCTCCGCTTGTGGAATATCAGTGCAAACTGCAGTACCAGTAGGTTTAGATCTTGGATATCTTTTCTTGAGTCACTGATGGCTTCTAGATACGCTGACAGCATACGAATATCTGACCATAGTGGATGCAAATGGAAATGCGAGCTTATCAGGGAATGGCTTTCTTCCGTCTGTTGTGTGCCTAGGACCAACGAATATGAACCAGACTTATACAAGCTTCAGTGAGCCCTTGGAATATGCACGTTTGGAGTCATTGACCGAACCTGTTTTCGTAGCCATTTTTACACAAGGGTTTTACAAGTATGAGTTCCTTAAAGCAAGCGTGTGCGAAGTGGTTCCCCTGTTGACCAGAGTCCGCGCCGATTATTCCAACGACCAAATTTCTTCTGAGGTTATCTCATTCGCTCCCTTCCAGTCAGAGAATGCCGAGCTACTGTCATTTATCGCTGGAGTTGCCAAGTATCAGTCGATCAACTCGCAGGGACTTACGAGCAGTACCATTGGGGATACCTTGTACTCCATCTATTCCTCGACTACTACCGAACGCATCAATAACAATCTCAATGACACACAGGTTTACCTTGAGCTCGTCAGTTTTATGTCATACAACCTTGATCCACCTCTTATGACTATCTTAGGAGGATTACTGGCGTGGTGTTGTTGAGTTTTCCGCCACGGTGAGGTCGCTGGTCTGTTCAATATAGTCTCAATTGACCTAGCGTTATTTTGCAGTTTCTTCGCTCCGGGTTCATGGCCACAGGCAGCTTTCCCGATAATATCATCCCGAACAATCTCTCTTCCCCAGTCAACGGGACCATGTTCATATCGACAATAGGCTGGACTCGCTGGACTAAGAACTCGCCGACATATCTGCTCGCTACAGTGCCGCTCACCATTATCACCATCCTCACTTTCGCCTGCGCATTGTACAGTCTTCTGGAGACTTGGGAAGAACATCGATCTAGAAAGCACAAGGCCCACTTCAATGTGTCAAACACAATTCATCTCATTATGCTATGCGCTGCTGAGAGTCTCAAACTCGGACATTTCGCCAAGCATAAGAATGGGAATGCGATCAAGAACAATGAGGTTGAGAAGGTTCAACTGGACGAGTTTGACTTCCCCCGGCTCTCAAACTCAAAGTTTGTGGGAGAAGTGAAACTTGAAGGAGATGCATGATTCTCAGCCATATCACGTTACAGTAGTGTCTGTTCTCAGTTGTATCATCGAGGGTCTTGTTTGGCATTTGTAGGGCACGGTGTTAAACTATAGAGTAATAAATGTGATTGTTTTGGGTTTTAGGATGTGATATGGAAGTAGACGAAGTCTTCAGCCAAACTGAAGACTGCCGCCATCTTGATCATGTTCGTGCATCCCGTACGAAGGCTCTCGGCTACACCATCAGTTCCGTGAAATGTAGAGCTTTATAATGCACATAGACTAGAAGCACAGAACAAAATTATACTTACCACAGAGGGAATTCATCTAGCCGTATACGTATGGCGCAATCAATATTCAACGTTGCAACGTTCCATATTGAGTGCACTGATCCCTGGCCTGAACTTACCAAGACACGCCCGGCTATATGCATCATTACAACAACGTTCAACTTCCTGCGCCCGAGGTTATTTGCACGCTTTAGTGGATCCTTAATTTTATGCCTCAACTTTGGAGGCCCTTTCACCAGTGGTATGATCAAAAAATGCTCAACCCACGCAGTCAACGCTATGCTCTGATGGACGACTACCTCTCCACAGTGCCTAGTGCACAGCTATCGGATACAGCGCGGTTTGGCCTTTTGCATGTGGTGATCCACTCTATGTAAATTTTGTTGATACTATCATGACAGTGCCTCGTTACTCAGGTCAGTGGGACTCGGAGGTAGAAGTCAGTCAACTCGGATCCATGTTCAGATCTCGAAGTTTTTCAATTCGTATGTTCCTGTCGGGCCGCACAGTCGTAGGTCATAAGACTCAGAACTTGTAGAAAGGGATCTGCCATAAAACGGTTCGGGCGGTAGATCTCCTATTCAAATATGAACGTGCTGGTCAATCGGAAATATACTCGCTATCATGTACTCACCTCAAATGTTCCCAACAGTAGCCTCATTGCTTTCCGAATTCAAGGTACGTCCACTTCCTTGTTCGTGCTCCTTGCACGATGCTAAGAACACCGCCAGGCGCCACTTTTCATCCGTCATAGTTTTCCATTGGAGGCATCCACGGACACTGCATAGATTGTTTTTGGATGAGGCTTTAAAGCTTTATGGGCGCCCTGTGGTGTTTTCGCCCTTTCAGAATGGATAGTCAGATTAATTCTCGAGTGTCCGACGACCTTGACTTTGTCAGTTTCCCTGATCTCCACCGTACTATCTAAGTCAGCACGTATGGCCGGGAAGAAATTTAAAAGTGTCTTGTCCACCTGTTTCTGTTTGTCAACTTTACCTGTTACTGTTATTGCCAGTTTGAAGAATGAAATGCGACATCCATGTGGAGACAATATTGTGTTTGACTGCCGTGACGTTATCCGCCTGTTGTGGGCTAGTAGAAGGGTATCTTGAGTACCATGATGGAAGAGGAATGAAGAGATCGAGATTTGACACGTTGGGGAATTGGCGAGCAGGCTAGGAAACGGTTAGGGGTATCCTCTACAGCCTACAATGCAGATGGGCCGGTGGAGGAACCGCATCCTAGTACCTTGCAATGCATGATGGATTCCATTACATTTCCGAGCGCCTGTGCGTAGTCAGACTCACATAGGGTGGGTTTTCATCTGCCATGGCGCTTGAAATTTGAAGCTCAGCCACTTACATAAGCTTCAATAAACACATACCGCTCTACTCATCAGGGCGAAGTTTCTTCAATTCGCATGTGCCATGCCCTCTCCTTCCCCTCAAAGCTCGAAGGATGATCTAAAGCTGGTATAACAGCGCGCCAAGGGTGCAATATAGGAAATTAAGCCGGCGTTCCAGTGAGCTTTTTCGGAATTTCTATAGTACCGAAACTTAATTTTTTGACAAAAGCAAACCGGCAGGCAAGTCTTTGACGTATGGTATGTTGCGACCATCTATGAATCTGAACCCTTAACTGAGAGTCACTTTAAGGGGGAGGTTGGATCCCATACAATTTTAGCATGTCTGTCTCCAGGCTTCAAGTTCCCGAGGACATGACTGGGGCGAATCAAAATTTCAAATGACGCAACGTGTCTGTATCTACCTACCATGTTGGTAATAAAGAGTAGTTGTGTTGCTGATCATCGTCATCGCGTACATGCAGCAGGGGTCAAGTATATAACATTTCCATCGAAGTGACAGACAGCATGGCTCTTGCGTCTACCCGTCATCCTGTCATGTCTCATATTCACCCCAAATTTATGGGCTACACAGCTATCATCATTATCCAGATTTTCATCATGGCATTGGGATACGTACGTATTCCTTGGTGCAGTTGCCTACTATGAATGCTATACTCCATCCAATCCGGTCTGCGAGTTGATGAGGAACTATCCTGGAGAGGTAACAATGCTAGTCACATCGATAGCAACTGTGCTATCAATCGCCACTACTATGTCAGTCTACCTTTTGCTCTTTGCGACCGATAGTTAGTGAGAAGTCAGTGTTCTGCCAGTCTTTTCACGCTTTCGGTCAAAGAGGCACTAAGACATCGAATATGCCAGCCCGTTTCTCTAACTCTCCTGAGCGCTTGGGTCTCTTTGGCTCAGGGCTCTCATATTCTGCAACATAAACATAAAACATTGACACTCTTCACTCTGTTTGTAGTTGGGATGCTGAGGCTCTCAACGGCCGGGTGCGTCTTCTCTGAAATGATTGTCGAGATCTTATTCGAATGAGGTTTATAGGTGGACCACTCGACACCGGTCTATTTCATGTGGCCAGTACAGTTGAATGGTTCCGAAATCGACATAACTGGAAGCGCGTTTGCCACCTTGCTCCGCGAAGAATTTCTGGCAAATGGTCTGACTTTCAGTATGTATCTCTACTCGAGTTACCAAGTGGTTTGTAAAATGGGATAACGAAGTCCAGGACAATGCTTTCGAAATTCTCGATATCGGCGGAATGCTCAGTGGAGTTGCTGCTGCAGGGTTTACCTTCGGTGCAAAATACAACATATCTACTCGTACGTCCAGTCCCTCAGTTCGCTCTAAACTATTTTATGATACTGTGCAACTAGGGGGGGTCGTGGAAATATTACAGTCAACACAGGAGTTGTACCCGGATCATACTCCAGGGCACCCATTCCCCAAGGTTTCAGCACGAACTATTCGATGTGGCAACAAGGGTTAACAGCGAATGTCAGCTGCCAGGCCATTGACTCAAGCCAAATGCAGTACCTTTGGAACACGAACTCTGATGTCATCTATACCAACCCAGCTGCTTCGAGCAACAACCCCATTACCGGTCTTCGCTTGTGGAATATCCGTGCAAACTGTGGTACCAGTAAGTTCGGATATTGGATATCTTTTCTCGAGTTCACTGACGGCTTCTAGATACCTCGACAGTGTACGAATATGTGACCTTGGTGGATGCAAATGGAAGCGGAAACTTACCAGGGAATGGCTTTCTTCCATCTGTTGTGTGCCCAGGATTAACGGATATGAACCAAACTTATACCAGCTTCAGTGAGCCCTTGAAATATGTGCGTTTGGAGTCATTGACCGAATCTGTTTCTGTAGCCATTTTTACACACAAGGGTTTTACAAGTATGATTTCCTTAAAGTAAGCGTGTGCGAAGTGGTTCCCCTGTTGACCACAGTCCGCGCCGATTATTCCAACGAACAAATCTCTTCCGAGGTCATCTCATCCACTTCTTTCCAGTCAGAGAATGCCGAGCTACTGTCATTTATCGCTGGAGTTGCCAGGTATCAGTCGATCGACTCGCAGGGACTTACGAGCAGTACCATTGGGGATACCTTGTACTCCATCTATTCGTCGACCACTACCAAATCCGTCAACAACAATCTTAATGACACACAGATTTACCTTGAGCTCATCAGTTTCATGACATACTGTCTTGATCCACTTCTTATGATTTTGGGAAGGGTTACTGGCGTGGTGTTGTTGAGTTTTCCGCCACGGTGAGGTCGCTAGTCTGTCCAATGTAGTCTAAATTGACCTAGCATCATTTTACAGTTCCTTCGTTCCGGGTTTATGGCCATAGGCAGCTTCCCCGATAATATCATCCCGAACAACCTCTCTTCCCCAGTCAACGGGACCATGTTCATATCGACAATAGGCTGGACTCGCTGGACTAGGAAGTCGCCGACATATCTGCTCGCTACAATACCGCTCACCATTATCACCATCCTCACTTTCGCCTGCGCATTCTACAGTATTCTTCAGTATCATCAAGAACATCAAGATAAACAACATTACAGGGCCAACTTCGATGTGTCAAATATTCTCCATCTCATTATAGCATGCGCTGGTGAGAAACTCGTACTCTCAAACATCAGTGATAAGATCAAGAGAAATGGGGGTGATGTTCACCCGAGGGACCTCAAGTCCACTGACCTTAGAAAGCAGGAGGTGCATGTGAGAGATGTCAAACCGGTGCATGTGGAAAATAACCATGTGTGATTTTTGGTCATATCACCTTATGCTAGTGTCTGTTCTTAGTTGTATATATACCCAACTTCAAGGGTCTTGTTTGATATTTGCAGGGCACGATGTCGAACTATAGAAATGTGATCATTCTTGTTTTCGTATTATAAGAATGCATGCTCGATGAAAAAGAGTGTGCACGTTCAACGTTGTGAACTGCGGTGCGAAATCAGCAGTGCCAGGTACTATCATAAAGAACCCTCAAATCGGGTTGGCCCATCGTGTGACATTGCCGAGGATAGATCCCACGTTCATTTATTCTCACTGTCAGCGTGCGGGGGGGCGCTTGTTGATGTACCACGTACATACGACATACCAGTTCTGACGACTGCAGCCAACGATGTGCTCACACAGTCAAAACCAGAAGCACTACCCCGAACTCAACTATGGATCTGGGGCTAAATGGATCAAGGGTTTAACTCAAAACCGGCTGTCCACTTTCCTTGGGGGTCACTTCGAAGACGTCAACCTGTCTTCTGTCCTCTACACTCATCGCATCGATGGCTCGCATCATGTAGATCTCCAAGTTTGGAGCGCACCAGGTCTTACAAAACCCTCGTTTCAAGAGGCAACGAAACAAGAATTCAAACCAGCAAAGAAGGGTGATTCATTTGGGCCATCTTGTAAGTCACTTTCATATTCAGCATTCTTCCTGATGCCAAACTTCTCTTTGCAGGGGTATGACGATACTATAAAATCGTATCTGCTTCTCATATGCATATATTCGTTTGCAGACAAACCACTGGTGGAAGGTCACTCTCAAGATTCCCTCCTATTGGCAACAGTATGAGCGTGTACAATGTAAAGCAAGATTTCTGAACTACTAAATAAATGCTCAAGTATGTTTGCCTCAGTTGAGTTTGACCCTGGCTGCGAAGCTATGATATTCTCCACGGATGGTGTCCCGCTCCAAGGTATATTTTACAACCTTTTTGGTAATCCAAAATGAATATTACTTTCTAGGAATTACCGGCGGCTACGGCGGAGATCGCAGGGTTGAACATATCATTCCGCCTCAAGCTGTTCGTGACGGCCACTATGCTGTAGTCATCGAGTCTAGTTGCAACGGCATGTTTGGCGTGCCATGGAATGGTGACACCATCGCGCCCCCAGATGTAAACTTGTTATCTTTCCAGCCCGACGCAGATGCTCATTCCTGTGTAGATGAACAGGTATTTCCAGCTTGCATCCGCAGATTTAGTTGTTACAAACCAAGATGCTTGTATGTTGTTGCACATTCCACCGTATTTTCAGCTGAAACTTGCTGCAGGGCATCTGATGTGGGACTTCACCACTCTTCGCGAGATTGTGGACACTGTACCTGGCAACACTAACCTTCAAAATAAGGCACTTGTCACAGCCAATAAAATCATGAATGCATTTAAATCTGGAGATCCCGAGAACGTCAAACGTATGCGCGGAATTGCTGAGGATGTCTTCGGAAAAGGTTGGCATGCAAAAGGTGACAAGATATACAACGAAGGCCCCAAAAAGGCTCAGGTTGTCGGGATTTCATACTGCCATATCGTTAGTTATTATTTACGGTCGCAGGTCATGTCTAATATGCTGTGCTTGAACAGGATACAGCATGGTTGTGGCCTTATTCAGTCACTCAGCAGAAGACAGCAAGGTCCTGGTCTACCCAGATTGATTTGATGGAACGTTATCCAGAACATAGATTTGCCTGTTCTCAAGCCCAACAATTCAAATGGCTTGAGGAGGTGCGCTTGACTGTTTCCTCTTCATTCACTTACTCATATATTTCTTCTTCATAGCAATATCCTCCGCTTTTTGAACGTATCAAGAAGAAAGTGGCATCTGGCCAATTTCATCTCATTGGTGGTTCGTGGGTTGAGAACGACGGAAATATGCCTTCAGGTGAAGCCCTCGTCCGGCAATTCCTATACGGTCAAAACTACTTCGAATCACGTTTTGGAAAGCGGTGTGAGACTGCTTGGCTCCCGGACTCTTTTGGGCTCACTGCGGCCTATCCGCAGCTGATTAGGGATGCAGGCATGAAATACTTCTTCACACAGAAGTTGAGTTGGTATGTGAATATATGAGCTTTATTTGCAGTCATCTTATGGTTCGTGGCAGGAATAACATGTTGGTATAGTTTTGGGGTTGTTGTCTCAGTTTACTGATGGTAAAAAAAGAAACGCGTTCCCGCATTCCACCTTCAATTGGGTTGGCATCGATGGCTCACAAGTCCTTTGTCACATGACACCCGTCGGTAATATCATGTCCAATTAGCAGTCCTACCAATACTAATTTGTTCACCCACGCAGATACTTACACCGCACAAGCAACAGTCGGAGACGTCAACAAGGGGATTACAAATCATAAGGTTTGGGCGACAATTAGTCACGGGTGTTCTTCACTTACTGTCATTTAGAACCTTGAATCAGATGCTACTGCCCTTCTGGTCTTCGGAAACGGAGATGGAGGAGGAGGAGCATTGCCTAAGATGCTAGAGAACGTACGCGCATTAGTTTCAGTTCTTTGAGTCCAGCTTAACTGTACTTGACAGCTGCGTCGCATTCGTGCGACGACTAATGAACACAGAGAACTTCCAACTGTTAGTATGGGAAGTTCTGTCGAGGAGTTCTTTGAGGACATTGAAGAAAATTCCAAGGAGGGAAAAACGCTGCCAGTTTGGTCTGTCAAGCCTCCCATTTCCATTATATTTTTTTCTGACATGCTATGGTGTGAAGGAAAGGGGAATTGTACCTTGAGGTAAGTGTGTTCAGGAGCTCTGGTAGACTCCAGTTCTGAAGTTCAGAAACAGTTCCATAGGGGGACCTATACCTCGCATGGTAAGCGGTTATCATTACCTGTCGCACTCACAATCAATACTGATATCATGCTTACTAGGTTCCATCAAGAAAGGTAATAGGAAGTGCGAGATACTTTTGAGGGATGTGGAGGTTGGTTTTGCCTGGCCCACAGTCACCCTGATACTAAACGATCCCAGCGCGTAGCTACCCTGGCTTCGATCCTCAAGCCCGGGGGACATTCGTATGTATATCCCAAGCGGGCTATTGATGAGTGCTGGGAGAAAGTGTTACTCAATCAGTGTAAGTGCTCTGTATCTATACTGTACTAATCAGCATATGTACTCATCTTTTCCGCAGTCCATGATGGTAAGCTTTTGAGGTTTTGGCACTTACATGATATCTAAAACGTACATTTCAGTCTTACCTGGATCTGCAATGTGAGTCGCAGTTTTCTATGCCTAGCTGGAGTTTAAGTTGGCTCTGTAGCGGCATGGTCTATGATGACGCAGAGAAGTTATACGCCGAAGTTCACGAAGTATGCACTGGTCTTCTCGAGGATGCGTTTGGTGTTCTCCTCCCACGATCGTCACCCCTCCTGTCGAATTCGACATCGGAAACACTAGTTGCGTTTAACACCACGTCATTTGCGCGCCACGATGTTATCAAGGTCCCTTTGTCCAAAGATGCTGCTCGCATGAAAACGCAAGTTATTCAAACATCTGCAGATGGCAAGCACGGATATGCTTTAATGCACTCGGTGGGAAACAAGGTCGTGTCACAACCCGTGGGGATGCCTTCGGTTTGTACGCCTGCATCTGGTGTGTCTGACATTTTCAGATCCTCAGTATTGGCACTTAATGACTGTTATAGTGTTTACCAATGGAACGGACCACTTCGTCCTCAGGAACGCCAACGTCCAGCTCACCATCTCAGAGGGACGAGTCACCAGCCTGATTGACGTGAGACTTGGGTTGGTTGCGTCCATCTTCCCCGTCATAACCCACTAATTCTATTCTTGAGTCGTGAGCTTATTCCCAAAGGAAGATCCGGTGGATTAGTCATTTTCGAAGATCGTCCTAATTACTGGGACGCTTGGGGTCCGTTCTTGCATTAAGTTGTTAATCGCGGACTGGATGTGACTTTACTTTGGGTGTTGCAGATGTCGAAATCCACCACCTCGAAACTTCTACTCCGCTTGCGTTTTCTCAAGTTCGGGTCATTGCCGAAGGGCCCCTTCGGGCCGCTGTTCAGACACAAATTAAATACGGGAAAAGTACAATCGACGTCACGGTGCGTATCTAGTATTTGCCATGCCTTTATTCCTTCCATCACGCCGCCTTGCGAATGTCTGGTGCTGACAGAATACATCACTTTTGACAGATCTCCCTCGATGCCATTACTGGTAAGAACGCTCCGCAGACCCAGAAACGAGTACTTATAGCGGAAGCGTAGCAACGATGAAAGGAGATTCCCGCTCTTATTTCAATTTCGATGCTGTGGTCGACTGGCGTGAGAGACACAAGTTCCTCAAGTGTGCGTACAATAACACCTCTTACTGTTCTGTTCTTATGCGTGACTCCAGTTGAACTACCACTCGACATCAATAACACGTATGCGACTTATGAGTCACAGTTTGGGTTTGTTCAGCGGCCGACACACAAGAACACGACGCTGGACGCTGCCAAGTTTGAGGTCTGTGGGCACAAGGTACGTATATACTTTTTCATCAGTTGGTTCTCCAGGACTTATCCACGAGTTACCAGTTCGCAGATCTTAGCGAATATGGATATGGTGTCGCTTTCCTCTCAGAATCCAAGTATGGCTTTGCATGCGAAGGCAACGTCCTTCGTATCTCCCTGCTCAGAGCGGCCACGGCCCCTGACTCGGAGCAGGATCAAGGTTTGACTCTGACGTCAAACTTGTCGCGGTTCATCGATTCTCACACGTTCTCTTAGGCAGGCACGAGTTCTCGTGGGCAGTCATGCCTCATGCAGGCTCCTTCCTCGAATCCGACGTTCCGATAGCTGCCTTTATCTATAATTCTCCCTTGCACGGTCAGTTGGGCTTCTTTGTTGTGTCTTCACTGATAAGTCTAATGATATCCTCAGTGAGAACTGTCCCTGGGAATCACGCGGGCCACGTCGTTCCACCTCTTCCGTTCTTGTTTGAGGGCACACCAAACATCTTTTTGGAGACCATCAAGAGAGGAGAAGACGACTTCAAGCCGAATACTTCCAGCACAACCGTCATCTTGCGCATGTACGAAGCCTTTGGTGGGCATGGATCTATCAAGCTACACCTCGGAAAACACGTACCTGTGAAGAGCGCGTATGTCACGAACATCCTGGAAGACACTAAAGGAGAACTCGGCCTGATGTCCACGGCGGGATCGCATAGCACGCTCAAGCTTGAATTCAGAAGTTTCGAAGTGAAAACTGTAAAATTGGTGTTGGAAACCAAGTCTGACATCTCAGCCATCTCGCCTAAGACGTGAGCTCTGTTCTATATTAACCGAGTTTGGCGTGGCTAACATGTAGAGTACAGATCTGCGAAGAGAGATAGCTGGGTCACTGTCAACAAGGAATTGTAATTTTAATCTTGAAATTGGTTGAGCTGACGCGGACTATCCCTTGTATGTGTACTACTTAGTGATGTAAAACTGTACAGTACCTGAAATAAAGTTTTGTAACAATCCGATTACGTATCGACTAAAGTAGTAGTTTGGACTCTCTTCTAAGTATCCATGGACACCATCTCCCGCCCGTCGGGTTGCCGACACGTCTAGGTCCGCATTATGACCAGCTGGCGGGAAATGCCAAAACTATTTGTCATGCCACATGGGCAGCACCGATTGATTTCAAATACGCACACAGCAATAGCAATGTCATACGGCTGTTCACGTTTATCCTACGTGTGAACGAAACGTTTGGTCTCCATGCCATGCTGCCCCTGTATAGCTTGACGTCGGTTTAAAATTAATCGATTGTCATCCACGGCTGAGAACTGAAAGATGGCCACCCCCATCAGCACGATCCCAAAGGTGAGTACATTTTGCTCAGCGCTCGTTGCACGATCTCAGTCAGCGGTGAAGATCAGAGATGCCCTTCGAGCGACATTCCGCAGCGGATTGACCCGTCCCATTGCGTGGCGTCAGCATCAACTATACCAGCTTGCGCGCATGGCGCAGAATGAACAGGAGCTCATCTGTGATGCCCTGAAGAAGGACCTCGGAAAACCAAAAACAGAGGTCCTGATGGCCGAAGTAGGCTGCGTCATCGAAAGAGCTGTGAAGAGCGCAGAGCAGCTACCAGAGTGGGCTAAGACTGAATATCCTGAAGTGGCTGATTGGCAGAAGCCATGGAAGCCAACGTGAGTGATCGGATGATCAAATTTGATGCATCGATGTGACTGATTACCATGTACCAGGCTTTACAAGGCTCCGAGGGGAACTGCGTTAATAATCTCGTGAGACGGAAGATACTGTCTCAATTCCACTTCCTGACCTCGCATTTAAACAGGCCATGGAACTATCCCATGATCCTCACTTTCCAACCTCTCATCGGTGCAATCGCAGCAGGCTGCACCGCCGTACTAAAGCCCTCTGAGCTTGTCCCTACTTTCTCACAGCTCTTGGATGAAATTGTGCCAAAGTACTTCGACCCAAATGTGTACCGTGTCGTCAATGGTGCTGTGCCTGAAACTACAAAGCTTCTGGAGCTTCAATGGGACCACATTTTTTATACGGGGAATGGCAGGGTTGCTAGGATCATCGCCAGTGCTGCGGCTAAGCACCTGACGCCACTGACATTGGAATTAGGTGGAAAGAGTCCCGTGATTATCGACTCGGCTTACGATATCGATCTTGCCGCAAAGAGGATCTTGTGGGGCAAGTGCAATAATGCAGGACAGGCGAGTTTATCTTGACCGATTTGGGGCTACTCCCGATGCGGTATACTGAACGGGAGTTCTGGCAGATCTGCGTGGCACCTGACTATGTCCTAGTACAGCGCGACAAGCAAGATGAGCTGATCAAGGCATTCCAAAAACATTATGATTCATTCTTCCCCGAGGGTGCGCTAGATTCGCCATTGTTTGGAAGTATCGTATCGGATTTGCACCATAAACGCCTTACTTCACTTCTGTCCCGCACGAAGGGCGAAGTCGTTCTCAAGGGTCGCTCTGACGCTGCGAGGAGGAGACTCGAGCCCACCATTGTGAAGAATGTTGCGGAAGGCGATTCCTTGCTAGAAGAGTCAGTATTTCCTTGTATTGGAAATATGATTCTAACTGCATGGTATTTATAGAGAACTCTTTGGTCCGGTATTACCTATCGTACCCGTGGATTCTCTCAAACAGGCAGTCGACTTTGTTAATGCACGGTAAGCTCTCGTCCTATGATTCAACACGTTAGCTGACTTACCTCACGAAGATCTCATCCACTAGTTTTGTACGTTTTTAGTGACAACGAGAACGTAAAGCAACAGGGTATGTTTTGCTTGGCTGATGACGGTCGGTTGATGCTAAAAACTGCGATCAAACCTTCTATGACAGTTGTCTCGGAAACGCAGAGCGGCGGTATTGTTTTCAACGACACCTTCCAACAGGTCGCAGGTACGTGATTGGCAGGTATTGACGTCATGCTTGGATTGGCGCTCATTTACTTTTGTTGTTCAGTGCGTGAACTACCGTTTGCGGGAGTGGGGGAGTCAGGCTGTGAGATTTTCACTCCACTTGAGAATGCAGAGAATGCCACTGACACTTGAGCCCCCGTGGTAGATGGATACCAGGTTATGAAACATACGTACGATACGTACACGCAGCTTCGTAGCTCTATTGATATGCCGAGAGAGTGAGTTCTACTTCTAGTTATTTTTTGAAGGTTGATCTGAACTTGGGCAGGGCTGAGCCACACCTGGCGATTCGGTATCCGCCTCATTCAGAAGAGGCAGTGCAAGCGCTCACTGCTGCGGTACGTACCCCCATTCCATCAAGCCGCCTGTGAGAAGATGCACTATCTGTGATTCAAGTACCGTTGCATATTGTAAGATGTTAGGATCCGAACCATGGATTGCCGTCCTAGGGTGTACATATTGTTATCATAATACCTGCACAGGACATTTGTAATGTTGGTGATGGGCCATCAGCCTTTGAAGAAGAAACCTTCATTACTGTAGCATGGTCTACATCGATTCGGAAGGTTCCGTTGATACATTTGCGATCCCATGTGTCTTGTTCATGAAACTGGGTATCCCGGCCACTTCTAGCCTTGCTGGGCGGCCGCAGGAGCCAAGAAGAGAAAACTTTGAAAAACTCCGCGAACTGGCCTAAATTTCAAATTTCCGTGTAAGCACGAGTGATTGAGATCTGGCCAGTCTGGGGCGGAGTCTGGGGCGTTTGGCAAAGTCTGGGGGTCCCGGCTGACCCGGGCTGACCCGATCTGAGTTTGAATTGTTTTGGTCACGTGTTTGCTTTGTGACAACTCCGAAGCTCCTCAGATTTTGCAACTCTGGCCCAACGATAGTACTCTTAGAACTAGATCTTGTCAGTTGCTACGAATACACATCACTTGTCCAAAAAACAGGCTTACATATTGGGAGGGCCAGGTGGCGGCAGTGTCAAGCCAGGTGAGATTGACGCCACCCTGCCCGGCCGTGACGCGCCTGTGACGCGGCACTGTAACAAATTCCTAGGTACAGATCATGTTCAAACAACTTCATATGTCATTCCAAACACTTTAAATCCTCGTTTATGATCAACACATGAGTGTTTGCCTGCGTACAGGCTCTATAGTGCTGCTCAAGCCCCAACCATGGCATTGTCAGAAGCCTCGTTTAGGCTGGGTCAAGCACCACTCACACCACGACAAGTTCTCCCACTGAACATCTTCGCAGTCTCTGTACTAATATCAACATTCACACTCTATGCCGCGTCAAATTTTGTCCATAACCCTTCTGAGTATTATGCACACACATCTCCTGCCCGTCGCGTCACTGACACGTCTAGGTCCGCATTATGACCAGCTGGCAAAACAAAACTAGTTGTTTTGCCACATCGGCGATACCGATTGATTTCAAACATGCACACAGTAGTAATTTCATACGGCTGTTCAGGTTTATCCTACGTGTGAACTAACGTTTGGTCTCCATGCTGCTTCTGTATGGCTCGACGTCGGTTTAAGATCAATTGATTGTCATCCACGGCTGAGAACTGAAAGATGGCTACTCCCATCAATACGATCCCACAGGTGAGTACATTTTGTTCAGCGCTCGTTGCATGACCTCAGTCAGCGGCAAAGATCAGAGATGCCCTTCAAGCGACATTCCGCAGCGGATTGACCCGTCCCATTGCGTGGCGTCAGCACCAGTTATACCAGCTTGCGCGACTGGCGCAGAATGAACGGGAGCTCATTTGTGATGCCCTGCAGAAGGACCTCGGAAAACCAAAAACAGAGGTTCTCATGGCCGAAGTAGGCTGCATCATCGAAACAGCTATGAAGAGCGCAGAGCAGCTACCAGAGTGGGCTAAGACTGAATATCCTGAAGTGGCTGATTGGCAGAAGCCATGGAAGCCAACGTGAGTGATCGGATGATCAAACTTGATGTATCGATGTGACTGATGACTATACCGTGTACCAGGGTCTACAAGGCTCCGAGGGGAACTGTATTGATATTCTCGTGAGATGGAAGATACTGACTCAGTTCCACTTCCTGACCTCGCGCTTAAACAGGCCATGGAACTACCCTATGCTCCTCATTTTCCAACCTCTCATCGGTGCAATCGCAGCAGGCTGCACCGCCGTACTAAAGCCCTCTGAGCTCGCCCCCGCCTTCTCACAGCTCTTGGATGAAATTATGCCAAAGTACTTCGACCCAAATGTGTACCGTGTCGTCAATGGTGCTGTGCCTGAAACTACAAAGCTTCTGGAGCTTCAATGGGACTACATTTTGTATACGGGGAATGACAAGGTCGCTAGGATCGTCGCCAGGGCTGCGGCTAAGCACCTGACGCCACTGACATTGGATTTGGGTGGAAAGAGTCCTGTGATTATCGACTCGGCATATGACATCGATCTTGCCGCAAAGAGGATCTTATGGGGCAAGTGCAAGAATGCGGGACAGGTGAGTTTATGTTGACCGACTTAGGGTTACTCCCGATGCGGTATACTGAACAGGAATTCTGGCAGACCTGCGTGGCAGCTGACTATGTCCTAGTGCAGCGGGACAAGCAAGATGAGCTGATCAAGGCATTCCAAAAACATTATGATTCATTCTTCCCGAACGGTGCGCTAGATTCGCCATTGTTTGGAAGTATCGTATCGGATTTGCACCATAAACGCCTTACTTCACTTCTGTCCCGCACGAAGGGCGAAGTCGTTCTCAAGGGTCGCTCTGACGCTGCGAGGAGGAGACTCGAGCCCACCATTGTGAAGAATGTTGCGGAAGGCGATTCCTTGCTAGAAGAGTCAGTATTTCCTTGTATTGGAAATATGATTCTAACTGCATGGTATTTATAGAGAACTCTTTGGTCCGGTATTACCTATCGTACCCGTGGATTCTCTCAAACAGGCAGTCGACTTTGTTAATGCACGGTAAGCTCTCGTCCTATGATTCAACACGTTAGCTGACTTACCTCACGAAGACCTCGTCCAGTAGTTTTGTACGTTTTTAGTGACAACGAGAGCGTAAAGCAACAGGGTATGTTTCGCTTAGCTAATGACAGTCGGTTGAAACTTGATGCTAAAAATTGCGATCAAATTTTCTTTGACAGTTGTCTCGGAAACGCAGAGCGGCGGTATTGTTTTCAATGATACCTACCAACAACTCTCAGGCACGTAATTGACAGTATTGACGTCATGCTCGAATTAGCGCTCATCTACTTTTGCCGGTCAGTGCATGAACTACCATTTGGGGGAGTGGGGGAGTCAGGCTGTGAGATTTCCACTCCACCTGAGAATGCAGAGAATGCCACTGACACTTGAACCCCGTGATAGATGGATACCAGGTTATGAAATATACGTATGATACGTTCACGCAGCTTCGTAGCTCTATTGATATGCCGAGAGAGTGAGTACTACTTCTAGTTACTTTTTGAAGGCTGATCTGAATTTGGGCAGGGCTGAGCCACACCTGGCGATTCGGTATCCGCCTCATTCGGAAGAGGCAGTGCAAGCGCTCACTGCTGTGGTACATACCCCCATTCCATCAAGCCGCCTGTGAGAAGATATCAACGGCCATCATGCACTATCTGTGATTCAAATATCGTTGCATATGTAAGGTGTTAGGATCCGAACCATGGATTGCCGTCCTAGGTTGTACATATTGTTATCATAATACCTGCACAGGACATTTGTAATGTTGGTGATGGGCCATCAGCCTGTGAAGAAGAAACCTTGATAACTGTGGGCATGGTCTTGCATCGATTCAGAAGGTTCCGTTGATACATTTGCGATGACATGCGTCTTGTTCATGAAACTGGGTATCCCCGGCCACTTCTAGCCTTGCTATGCTAGCTGGGCGGCCGCAAGAACCAAGGAGAGAAATTGTGAAAAACTCCGCGAACTGGCCTAAATTTCAAATTTCCGTGTAAGCATGAGTGATTGCACACTTGGCCCGGTCATCTATCACATCCCCACAACACGTCGGAACCACGTTACTCACTGTCGCATCCCATCAGAAGTTCGTATAAGCTCCGGTCTGGACCATGATTAATGTTTCGTTGAGTTACGTTGTATTCTGATCGTGAGACCGGCCTATCAAATGACTTCAACGAAATCTTCCATCGTCTGTTTTTGTGGAAGTTTCACGCAGTCGTTGGGGTCTTCCTACTATCGGAACAACCGTGCATAATTGGCAAATCATACAGCGGTCACATGCCGGATAAAAATACAGCAGAAAGTGGGGTGGGCTTTCACTCCGCCTCGGATATGTTGGACAACTAACGGCATGGCGCTTGTATAGCTTTGCTCTTTTGGGCTAAGCGCAACGCTATATAATCCCAAGGTTGTATAAGCCGATAGGAGTAAGGCTACCTTCCGCCCTCTTTCCGTACCACGCGCCTACGACCAAGATGTCGACCTCCTCGCCTGTGAACGAAAAATCCGATGTGGTAGAGCGTCCGGAACATGTTCATCACGGTAAATCACATATGGATGCGGAGACAAGAGCCATTGCGTGCGTATGACATGTGTCCTGTGTCAAGTGCCCAGGCTGACGCTTTTCCGCCAGTAACGCCGATGCCAAATTATCAAATCCCTTGCGCGGTATACCTCATGATCGTCTGATGGCAGATATCGAAATTTTTGCGCAGGAGAGAGGATTGACCCATCTGTTGCCTGAGCTGAAGAAAGGGGCGCTTGTTGCACAGGATCCCACTTGTATGTCACCATGAGAGATGTTTTCCCCAGTTGACCCGAGTTCCTTGATGTGCAGGTTATAATCGTCTAGACATGTTCTCAGAAGACGACAAACGACTTTTAACAGAAGAGGTTACACACAAGTGGCGACAGACACCCATGCTGTATTACGTCGGTGTCACCCTGTTTTTGATTATTTGTCATGGCTCATCATTAAAATAGATGGTCGTGATGTCATCACTTGCAGCGGCTGTCCAGGGAATGGATGAGGCTGTTATCAATGGCGCTCAAATTATTTATCCCAAGCAGTTTGGTATCGGCGGTGGCACCCGTACGTACTTTAAAGCTCTTACATCGTTCCAATAATCATGATCTGTGTCTAGAACGCGATTCATGGTTAATCGGTCTCGTCAACTCTGCACCCTACTTGTATGCACATTGCTTTGTTCGTATTGCGGGATATTGTTTCTCATCATTCCACAGATGCTGTGCCACCATTTCTTGTTGGATGACACACCCGCTCAACCATTATCTTGGGCGTAAAAAGACCATTTTCGTCACTTGCATGATCTCGTTCTTGACATGTATTTGGTCCGGATTGACAAATACCTGGTGGCACTTATTCATTGCACGGTTCTTCCTCGGTTTTGGTATCGGTCCCAAATCTGCCACCGTCCCAGTATACACCGCCGAATGTTCACCCGCACCGATACGTGGCGCTCTCGTCATGATGTGGCAGATGTGGACCGCTTTCGGCATTGCTCTAGGAGACCTTGTCGACTTGGCATTCTATTTCATTCCGGACACTCCCGGTGTGACTGGTCTGAATTGGCGTCTCATGCTAGCCTCTGCTGGTATCCCCGGTCTTATTGTCTGTATGCAGGTCATGTTTGCACCCGAGTCGCCTCGTTGGTTGATCTCCAAGGGTCGCTACGAGGATGCCTTCAATGAACTTTGTCGGCTTCGTTTCTCTCGCGTTCAGGCTGCTCGTGATTTATACTACATTCACGTGTTGCTCGAGGCAGAAAACGAGATGAAGAAGGGTCGTAACCGCATTGTTGAGATGTTTACGATTCCGCGTAACAGGAATGCTGCCCTTGCTAGCTGGGTCGTCATGTTCGGCCAGCAGTTTTGCGGTGTCAATGTCATCGGTATGATATTTGTGTTCATGATTTGGAAATGATTGTTAACTCGATGGCAGCTTACTACTCATCCGACGTCTTCGTACAGTCTGGTTTCACGCAGGTTTCTGCACTGGCTTCCTCCCTTGGATTCGGTGCACTTAACTGGTTGTTCGCCATCCCTGCTTTTTTCACTGTGAGTGGTCCCTGCCATGGTTGGGGTTTCCGTGAATATTAAAGTTGGAACACTAGATCGACACTTACGGGCGGAGGAATTTACTTTTGTTCACATTTCCTTGCATGGCCATCTGTCTTTTAATCACAGGCTTCTCCTTCTGGAGTACTTCGGAGACAGGGCGTGTAACGGGTGTTAGTATCGGAATATGTACGTCATCCCTTTGGTATTTGATACTGCCATTAATATATGCTCCTTCAGACCTCTTTGCGATCTTCTATTCTCCAGGAGAAGGTCCAGTGCCGTTCACGTACTCCGCAGAGGCATTCCCTCTCTATATCCGTGATATCGGCATGTCCTTTGCTACTGCGACCACTTGGTTCTGGAACTTCATTCTGTCAATCACTTGGCCTTCGCTTGTCTTGGCCTTCAAACCACAAGGTGCCTTCGGCTGGTACGCAGCATGGTGCTGTATTCTCTGGGTGCTCATCTTGTTGTTCGTGCGCGAGACGAAAGGCAAGACCCTGGAGGAGCTCGACCAAGTTTTCGCTGTCCCCCTTGGCGCGCACGCTGCATATGGTCTGCGCCAGATACCTTACGGCATCAAAAAGTTCGTGTTGTTCCAGAACCCTACCCCTGAGCAGCTTTATGAGTTTGAGAGCGAGAGCGAGGTGTCGAGCACTGGGGGCGACGAGAATGCGAAGAGGGAGGTGAAGGAGGATGTGGAGAAGGCAAGATGAGTTGAGCCGTTATGTGATATGACTGACGCTTCGCTTGATCCATGTAAGGTGGATAGATTTATTCACATGCTATTTAATTTGTTACCGATGTCACTTACACATGTATGATACATATTGCCATCTGATATTTTTATGTAATACCAGCTCAGCGCTCAGTTGTTATTATTAAGTTACAGATTGATGCCTTGGCATGAGACTCAAACCCTATGTTTGCTAACTACCTCCTTCTGTCGTGGAAGTCTCAAATTTCACAAAGAACAAGGAGAAAAGATACTACGGATATTGTGATCTCAGCGGAGATTGCAACAACGTCGGCGTGGAGCATACAAATCATGGCCACATGTAACTGCCCAACTTTGTCCTGCATGGTTTCGGTACTACGTAGCCTAATGAATGGGATCCGTCTACTGGACCATCCGTTGCTAGTGAAAGTTCGCAAGCCACGCTCTATGAAAAGACATTGATCTAACTGCGAGATACTGATCTGAGATCAGGGTCATGCTCAACTGTACAAGGCTTCCTGGTAACAATGATATCGGCTATACACATGATCACATCTCTTGGCTCTGCCGCAGCAACTGCGACTCTTCCTGTATCTGAGACAAAGACAAACACGGCATAAGTTTACGCGCCCCTAGTACACACAATGACTGAACTTACCCATGGTCTATCCTGTCCACTCACATACTTCCTCGCCGGACGCTTGAAGCACGACACCCTCTCCGCGTCCTTCGCATCGTAAAGAGGGAAGACAATTCCCAATTCATAGTTGACCACCTGGCGAACGACGGGTCATTAGGAAAGCTTCGTGAAAAAAGTGTGTTGACTGACATTGAGTACTGGGTTGAACCCAGAGCCAGAAAGCGTTCCCCATGCTGAAGGTGTGAAATTATGCGAGCCAACATAAGCCCAGCCAATTGGGTCGTTTTGAATTTCGATGTCATCGGATTCAGGCTCGGTTTCGCTGTCGGACAATTCCTTTCCCTTTCCGTTTGACTGGCTGCTTGTTTCAAATATCGATTTCTTGGGGCGATAGGTCGCGATAATCATCTGGAGAGCCGAATGGATTAACGATCTACGGGTGTACTTGCACTGGCGTACCTTGGTGTGCATCAGCACTCGTCCGCCAGTACTGTTCGAGTCATGGAATAGCTCTCGAGGAAATTTCGACGCTTCCCATTGGTTCGTGCGGCAAAACATGGTCCCACCTCCCTGTCAATTATTTTGAGATATATTCAAGAGTGATCGCCGAAAACACGACTAACCAGTTCACCGAGGACGCTATCACGCACTGTCTTCAGGCTGGGGAAGACAATCTTCACAGGGGGCCACGGCAACTTGGCACGTCTGGCTTTTGATTCGTCCAGCCAGTCTTCAGCTGATTCTCCACGTGCTGACCAGTAGAACTCGTTTACCCACTGGGTCGAGTAAGTTCCTATACTCGAGCCCTACACAGTATGAACATCCCTGCGGCGGAACTGAAGACGTTCGACATACCTGGGACTCGATAAGGAGGTCCTTAGCAGCCTTTCCCTTTCCAGTACGAAGCCCCATATCACGGACGGCCTTCATCAGCCTAGTATGGCCAGTCAAGACGACATTTGGCCATCCTTCATGTTTACCGGCGATGGAGGGAATGAGTTTAACCTTCACTTTTGACCAATCCCATTTCATTCGCAAGTCGTTGATAGTTTGAAGGGGTAGATTTGGGTGCTGTGAAATAAGATCAGTAGTGCAGCAAATGAGATTCCTGACACGACTGACATCGTTTGCTAGCATGTTCGCAAGCGCCGGTCGAACGTTGACAGCGCGTAAAACGTTTTGCATGATTGACGGGAAGTCATCGATGGCCTTGGGATCGTGTGGTATCGGAGCAGATCGTGGCGGTAGATCTTGCAGCCAAACGGCCTGTCAAACTGTTCAAGAACTCCCCTACGTCGACTGCGGACTCACATTTTCGATATCGCGCCAATCGTGATCTACGAGGTTGGCGGTAGATATGACTATGCGAAGCCGTCCAGTCTTGTAGAATATCTTTGGAGAAATTTAGTTGGCGTCGTGCAGCGATCCGAATGGACTCACGAGCATGAACTAGGGGCGACGAAGTCAGCGCAGCGTTCTAGAATTTGCTGTACCAATAGACCTACTTTCATATGCTGGCAACCTCGTCCATTGCGGAGAGACGGAACAGTCATAACCCAGTTTGGAAGAATGTTCTTGATGGTCGGTTGACCTGACTGATCAGGCTGCGCCACAATGATCACTGGAGTAGATGGCGCAAAGAATTCATATATCCAAGAGACAGACATCGCGTATGACGCTATGATAGCAAAGGATATATCAGGTTTCTGAAGAACTGCAGCATCACGCATCATGAATGAAAAACACAGCAGAATCAACGCGTACCGAACCCAGTACCTCTGTGAGGCGGAAAGTGGGCTTTCCATCTTGGCGAGGTTGAGAATGCTTGTTAGCTGTTGGACGTAATTCGCCGTTCCAGAACAGTTGTTCAGAGGTTGGTGTAGAATTTATACTAGTGCTGGCTGTTCGAGAACTTGCAGACGAGCCCGAAGGGACGCTAGATGACGAAGCAGAAGCAATGTTCGCTCGACCATTAGCATGTTTTTCAGAGGAGGGAATGTGTTGCCTCTTTGTAGGGGGCGATATGCCTCCTCCATCATCTGCATCCTGCCCACGCAACCTCTTCAGCCTCTCGAGTCGTTCTCTCTCCATCTGTGCTCGTTCGGACAAAAAGCTCGCTGCTAGGGTATTCCGAGCACTCTGAGACGGAGGCGCAGGATAATGGACGGATTGCGTTGTGGCCCGCGAAGATTCGGTCTTGAACGCTCGATTTTCCTGTAACCGCCCAGACTGGAAGCGATCGTCATCATCGTCCTCGGAATCACTGATTGAAATCGCCCTCGAAGATGATGCGTTGACCTGGGACTCTCGGAGACTCAAAGCAAGCGCTCTGATTCATCTTGTGAGAAACCGTAAAAATTGTAATAGATACAAATACCTTTCCAAATCTTTGTCCATGTACAGATCTCGTTCTTGCATGTAGGTAATTAGAATTGAGCATTGAAATATTGAAGTCCAGACAATGCACGCCACCGCGTCTCATTGCAAAGATGCACGTGATTTACGCGTGACCGACGCGACAGCCTGACTCTGAATCGGAGTCCAGTGGTCACGAAACATCAACACAAATACAAACATTTTTCAACTACTCGTACTATACGCTTTACCCTTATCTCGTACACTGAATTTTAGGACACCTCGTAGGGCACCCTGACAATGAGGCCGGGTTTTTATAGACTGTCACAGTACCTTGGCACGTTAGGGTGCTCGAGTCAAATCTGGTAGTAAGTACATGACATCAATAGAACACGGTATCGTAGGCTACAGTATTATGGTTCCAGTTATATAGTACAAGCGAGCACCATCTGCAATCGCATCAGTACTCCCCGCGCAAAACCATCTACGAAAGAAACTATCGAATGCTACGACCAAGGCTCGTCCGGCAGATCTACATGGGGCTTTTCCCGAAGTTTGGACATTTGTGCCTCGTCGATGCTATAGAATTGCATCACCTCAACGATTTTATCCAACGCATCGCTATCCATACGATCCACGATGGTCAATTGATCATCATAATCCTGAATCCGCGTATTAGCTTCTCCGCTCATTGGAGAGTCGACATAGCATTTGACCGCGAGCTTGATCGCCCTGCGAGTGAGTTCCTGACTTTCTGACACGAGATAAAGTGTCTGCAACACAAGCGTTAAGTGGATTATGTATGCCATGAAGCGCTGAAGCACCGCGTGGCTGACAAAGGAGTGTTAATATCCTTTCGTACGCGAAAACATAGTGGTGCGTACGATATCTGGTATACATCGTAAGCCCATACGGCGAGTACGGCACCTATTGCAATTGGTACTACGATGGGAGCCGCAGGTCCCGCCAGGGCCGATACGATGCCCGCAATAGTGCCCACCATGGATAACCCAAAAGCCCTGTAAACATTCGATGAGATGAAAATTAATCTATCACGTAAGAGATCAGCCTACATGGTCTTGGTGGGATTAGTTGCTGGTCCAACTTCTATCTTATCGACTATGTTCATCATCATTGTCCTGAACTCCTGGCTGTGCAAGTACTACGCACAAATCACGTTAGAACGGATGCGACGACGACAAATAAGATAGCCATCACCTTATGGGGGTCACGGAAGTTCCACACGTCGACGATGTCAATGTGAAGCACACGGAGACAATCCCACATTGAACGGTTCTGGAACATTGGGCATGACCCAAGCGCTTTCCAATACCCTGCAAGACATGAAGATTTAGATTGTATTCAGTAATCATGAACACGAAATTGGGACAGACTTTTCTTGCCAACCCTGACACAACGTAAATCACGAGATAAGAATGAAGCAAGCAAGACTCACTCAATTGATGCCTTTATTTTGAGTCCAGGATGGACTCGCTGAGCGATGGAGGTCATCACCGCAGCCTCGGGCGCAGAATACCGACCGACACGGCTTTCAGTGATTTCGATCAGGTGGACGAGCGTCTGCTTGTAGTCTGCTTCAGCTATTTTACAATCAGAGGCACGCATGAACCTGTCGGAGTATTGGTACACACTAGAGATCGTAACGTAGGGTATATCAGGCCCTGCGAATTGTTTTAGAGGTCCGATGCAGGTATTCTGCAGCTCGGCTTCTGCTTTGTTCTTGACGACTTCCTTGATGGCTTTGTCGTTCAATCCATTGGCAGAGGATTCATCTAAATTTCGTTCTATGCGACCGATGAGCATATCGTATTTGGTAAGAACGACGATAACGGGAACTTTGATAGTGTGAGCTCCAAAGTAGCAGAGATATGACTATCGAATTACTTACCGTTTCCCAGCTTTCCACTACTTTTCAATTTAAGGAAATCCTCCGTTCCTGTCTCTAGCAAACGTCCGCCTGCACGAGGTATCTCAAAGCAAAGCCTTTCATATATTTTGTCAATCCACTATAACGGAGTGGTCAAGATAGAATCCCTACCAAATAGCATGCAACTGATGTTCCGGAGTAGGCATGTTCCTCCGACGGTCAATGAAGTCTTCAACTATTTTGAGGTTGTCTTCATCCCCTGGTTCAAAGCCTTTGCTATCATGGAGAACAAACTTGTCGTTCTCAGGTGAGATGAACTCGTGGTCGATGCTGACCTCGCCTGGCTTATAATGCGAGGAGATCTATCGATAGTATGAATAGCTGCACTTATTGAAATGTCGTGTTCAACCCACCGTGTTTTCCACCCCAAATGCGTGGTTGATCACTGAAGACTTGCCGACGCCAGTCTATTAAAAGCACGTTGTCAACACTAGCCTGAGATCGGAGAAAACCATGTACCTTTCCTATCACCAAAATTCGGAACCTTGGGAGAGTCAACCTCAAGGACGGCACTTTATGATCGCCCTGACTCACCGAGGACATTCCCGAAATAATTCGGAAGTGGTAGGCCGAAGCTCAAGGCTTTGGCCGGACGAGACAGACTGTTCAGCCTGCTGATCTATGACTTAGATGGGTTCAATGTTAGACACAAATCCTTACTTCAGTTGTTGCACTTCCGGAAAGGTCGATGACGATGTTGATTTTTCCATGAATCTTGGTGTATTCTACACGCGTGAGGTTAAATTCAGAACCCATTAAGGCAACTCTGATTTCACCTCGTCTTTCGCTTGCACTATACGCGCGGAACACGTCGTCTGGGTTGAAAGTGATATCTCGATGCTTGGTCTTCATCCCAAGCCATTTCGTGGATTGTATATGCAAGGAAAATGTATCTCCTTGAGAAAGCACCCTACGGTACAACAACACAGTAGTAACTCAGGTGAGAGCACGCATTGGAGTCGTGCACTTACATGGGTGGAGAAAACTTGCATTGCAAACTCCGATTTCCTGCTTCGCGTGTAATTGGTGAATGTAACTTACCAATCCGTAGTTCAGCAGACTCTATATTCGTCTTCGGCTTGTTGAAATTGACGGTGATACCTATTGAATATATTCAGCGGGCTGATAATGCTACTTGACAAGAATTGAGCACCAGAGATATGGAGAGGGTAGGAAACCGTCGACTCAGAGGCGTAAAGAGAATCAGCCATGGTGATTTGATCTAGGGAAGGAAGAGCCCACTCTGAGCTACTGTAGAGGTTAAGTACAAGTCACTGCGTTAGCGCTTCACTGCAAGGAAGCCAGGTACCATCGTGTATGCCTCGTGTTGCGCCCAGTGGATATTAATGGTGTCTAACGTAAAACACCTGACCAACACTTTGCAGATGCTTGGTAACGTATCAAATAAAAATACGTCACAAGAATGATATAGCCGCCGAGTCGGAGACTGCATGTGCACTGGCATGAATGGTTCTTCTGGTTCAAGGAACTGACTGTCATCTAGTCGCAAGGTCTGACTATGGGAGACCAAGTTGCGCAAAGTGATGGCGCGGCAAAGACTCGGAGGCCAAAAGCTGTGCACCCACCTTTGGGAGTACTCAACTTTTCGGCACACGCCGTGACTAATTTCAAATATAGGCCAACGCCACTTCGACGCCTCATGATAATACACGACTATATCTATATACCCATTGCCCACTGAATCTGCATGGCGGCTTCGGGTTGGGTTTTTACCGGGTTCACATTGCACACTAGTACGGCAATGATTCTAGGGTACTCCAACACCTCTTCGTCACATTTACTAGTACCTTCCTCCATGGATTCTTTTGCTTACCACTGCATACTTTCGAAATAGAGAGTGATGATTCTAGAGCCTTGCTAGCGAACGACATTGCCGATCCACCAATAGGACGAGCTTCGCGACGATCACCGTGTAAAGATACGGTCTAGGTTACTCTGTGTGGTATGTCTAATCGATTACAGATTGTACACACACTTCTCATGTTGCGAATCTGCCAGGCCTCTGGCTCATCACCCTCGGAGAACATTTTTCAGCTAACTTCTGGTGAGTGTGAATTTCGAGGCTATATCGTGATAAATCTGCTTATCATTGACCATTTAGCTGTTGTCATTATCTTTGAACGCTCTTTCTACATTTAGCGGTGCTATCTTCAGGACCAGTAAACATCCGTTCGCTCCTTTTATGTCGCTCTGGAGCAGTACATTGCATCCTCCCATGCAGCTGCTGTCAGGAAAGCTGTGAGATGTCGAGGACATTTGTCTACTTGGCAAGTCAAGCTATCCTTTGAACACTTCCCGAAGAAGGAAAACGATTGTTTGAAATCACTTAGCATCGCCTGTGTATGTTTGGCTGTTATGTCGTGGCAGTAATTTCGCTGATCGGTTCTCTTCAGCAAGACCTTAATGTTAGGCAATGCAACACAACGTAGATCATGTTCCGCAGTGGAGCTGACATGTCTTAGCAGCGAATGTAAGATTCTTGAATAGTCTATTAAGGTAGTTCCAAGAGTTGGAACGGTTGTATAATATGGCGCTTTCCCGGTATGGTGTGTGCATGTTTGAAGTATGTGAGTCACCTTCGGCGAAGACGGTGGTGAGATCGACTGGGCTTGATATATCTCCCTCTGATTCAAGTGCGTTGAGGTCGGGTATGTTCCACGTACCATTCTGCTCCACAGCCTAACTCAACTTACCCCGTTCTTTCAAAAAAAAGCAATCCAGATTGTCATTCTAGAGTTACATGATATAAACGCATGGAACGTCTCTGTCAACGTCAGTGACACCAGTTGGTGGCTAAGATTGGGCTATTGGCAGATAATGGCCTTCGAAATCAGTGAACTTCAAGCAGCGGACGCACCTTGAAAGTTTTCATTCTTTGAAAGACAATGTGCAGGTTACTATGGCTCTGGATTATAAGTCAAGGGTGGACATCGTCATTTATCATACGTACGCTCTGTGTATCTCCAGGACCTACGATCAAGACTGCATCATTCTCGTTTTCACTAAACAATCAGTTTATTGACCGCATGCATAATTCTTCAGTAGCGTTTTCACCCGTCTTTTTAACGTACGAGAGAACATCTAAAGGGGACCATAAGAAAACACTCGCCTCTCTGATCTGTCTAACAAACTGAATCCCATGCGAGAGCTTGCTGCGATCGATCGGGTGTCGATGTATCTCATGAGGAAGACAAGCACGAAGATGCCTGTCGTCGAGCTGATGGCGGCAGGTGCTTGTACTGGGCTCACTTGTTAGTTAAAATGAATGCGAGCGTGATTTAGTGTTGGCTGTAAGGAAGGCCACGTAATAATCGTGTATACTTACTTCAGCACAACCGTTACAAGTACTTATGTTTAAATACCCCGGCTCAGTTCGGTGCACATGGACCACGCAGTAGGACGGGGATTGATTCTCGACATTCTGTAAGGCGTGCTGCTACTATGGATGGGAGCTAGTTATAAGTAATGTATCATGCAAATAATAAATCTAGAGCCAATTACATGTCGAGGCATAAGCTACCTTGCTTGCCCCGACCTCCCACTCCCACATTCTAAGTATTAAGATACATCGGATAGCACATCTAGTTGAACACATACGTATGAAGGGTTTAGCACGCTGCAGTTGCTCCTGTGATACGACGGCCAAGGACCGCAGAAGACTTGAGAGATTGGAGACGCCTGTTGACCTCCTGCCATGCGTACCGGATGTGGCGTCCACTAGAGCCATGGATAACACTCTCAACCGAAGGAAGCATAGAGAAGAGGATGTAAGCGACAGCTTCCCGATCCACTATGTGAGAGGTGCGCACATCCAATGTTTGTAGAGATGTATGCTGAAACGACTCAGCCTGAGGATCGATATCAATATTCAGAGTATCCATTAATATGTGCAGTGTATGCAAGTGGGGAGATTGACGCAACGCTGCGGATAACCCGCGAAATGTGATAGTAGCTGGGTGAGGATGGGGGTCTTCTAATTTCAGAGAGCGGATGTGCGGCCAACTTGACATGGCTTTCGAAAGGAGGTGGTTGTCAAGGCGAATGCAGCAATGGGGAAAAGCGAGCTGCAGAGTTCTGAGTTGCGTGAAGCCAAGAAATTGGGTGATCGGTGTCAAAGAGCTGTCTGAGGGCTCTGGAACTCTTTGATCACGGGATAAAATGTCGATATGTTGAAGGGTCTGGCATGCCGTGCACTGCGACAGTGCATGAAAGAGCTGCTCAGCATCTTCCCACGGCAAAACACGGGCAACCATTTTGAACTCTTTCAGTGAGGGGAATGCTGAGTTGCGCATGACTGCGATGACGTATGAAGCCGTGGTTACATGGAAAGAAAGAGCCGTGACGTTGAGGAAACGTGTGAAAACGAAGTTATCCGTGTCCAACGGGCAAAGGACTTCGCCAGAAATCGCCACTGAGAGAAGGGTGGGGAGGTTCGATAGGTGTTTCCATGCTGCCCAGTCGAGAGGTGGACAATACAAAGTTACAAGCCGCTTGCACAGACGGATACTGTCAGATAACAGGCACAGCTCATCCGTTGTGCTTTGGTAGGGGATCTTGATGGTTAGATCCTCCAAGGTAGCAGCACAACAGGTCGCAATTAATTTCAAATCGGGATGAATGAGCGATAGCGAACAACGACGCAGAGTGGGAGGTAGGAAGAGATGTAAGTATCCAGCCGGATGTACAGCCATTGACAACGATAGCAATCTCGGGAATATGAATGTCTTGATGGGAAGGACTGAAAGAAGGTGAAAATGGTTGTCGAATGGGATTTGCAATGAGCGCACGCGGTGGGCGTGACGCAAAAATTGGAGGACTTCGTGCTCACATAATGGATTGATGCCTTCAGAGTACCAAGTGTACTGCGTGTAGACACTCAGTGAGCTAATGAACGAAATAGTATGAACAGAGCGTGACTAGTCCGCACTGACCCTTCCGGCATGATGATATATCATGGGATGTAGCCTCGTTACACAGCCCAGCAGTGGTACTATCCCATGCACGTTAGCCCAGAGTAAATCCATTGCGGGCTCGTGGAAGGTCCTGCATGTCGTTGCAAGCGTTGCAAGGGATTTCCGAGCCAATGATATCTCGCCATACGATAATGGATCCATGATTGTATCGACATGAGCGAATATGTCCAGAAGAATTTCAGAAACAAGTAGAGCGCGATGCATGGTCATATGTGGATGGAATAAGTGAAGCGCAGGGAGTCCTACAGAACACGGACACGAACAACCCTGTCCTTCCAAACGTCGGTGATCAAGTCTCTGAGCAGAAGCGAATAGAACACGACCTCGAAGTGTCGGTTCAGTGACTATTCGCTCATGCCGGATTGCCTGATTTCTGGTCTATTTCCCAGCCTATCCTCGTGTAGGGAAAATTCAGCCCGTGCACGTTGTTTTGCATTCGAGCCTGCTTGGTTCCCGGGTGCGCACTGCGCATGGAAAGTCCCGCATCCGCGTGCAGTGTCACGGTGCTCTTTTCGGTTCAAATAAATATAACGACCATTTTTAGCTTGAGGGCATCCACGCGCAGGATCCATTCCAGGAAGTTCTCATCACGAATATTGTGCCATATTTCAATCATTTACATCTCCACCTCGACCTTATGTTTGCTTCACTAGTCTGTCATGATCAATCAATTCTTGTCCTAACAGAGGTAGCATAGTGGTCCCACTGAGATCATAGTGATTTTTGTACCTTCGCCTCGTTTCAGATCATGATGATCTGTCTAGTTAGCAGTTAACACAACGTCTGGATGGGGTGCGGCATATCCTCTCATCAATTATCCCATCCAATGGCGCGCATGCAATAGATCATAAGTAGAACATGGATTTTGAGTGATGTTATTGGGTAGTGTAGGATAGAAAAAGAAAAGTGCGATGATGAAAACAGCATCTTGATCAGAGTGGTGTAAAAAACGTACTCGGTCCGTCTCCTCAGACCCGGGGCTTCGTGGCTCGCGGCCATTTGAAAGATTGAGATACCCGTTGATCTCGTTCCATAGCTTCAGAAAGTAGATTTCGAAGTCCCACATCACATCCTCAATCTACCTCAACAAACATATCAAGCAGCCTTCGCAACCGAGATACCCCCACTCCTCTCCGAACTGATAATCATGATAGTGTATTACATTGTCTAAGCATCAGGGTCTAGCTGAAAATAAGCGGATCAGCGGGAGTGCTGCCTCAACGTGACAGTGAAACATACGCAAGCGATGATTTAGAACGATTGCAAGAACAGCTTCAATCAACTCCGCCTTCGCCCGAGAGCACGAAGATTCTTTCTCCTTCGCCTGAGAGCGTTTGAAAGTCATTCTCTCCAAGGGTTCGAACGGTAACTTCGCCATCCAAGAAGGCACATTTCCTTGATCTGGAAAGACAGCAGTCCTCACGGCTTCTTCATATGTGTGTGCGGCAGTAGCCACAACGTCTTCATATGCCTGGACGGCAGCACTCACAGCTTCCCTGACAGCAGCTGCATGTGGAGATGCCATGTACTGCTCGAGAGCGACATGAAATAAGCGATCAGACTCCTTCTTGTCCTGAAGATAGCGCCGCTTGTCGAAAATGTAGAAAGAGCGTTCGAAGATAATGACAACAGCTAAATGTCCAATAATAAGCAGGTTCATCGCAACTCGGCCTCAAAATTCACCAGAAATGAGCTGAACGATATTCTCCAAGGGTGATGAGTCAGAGGCCTGACAGAGTCGCAACATGAGAAATGTGTGCACAATCGGTAACCAATTGAACATACCGCAGAGAGTAACCTAGACCGTATCTCTACACAGTCATCGTCGTGAAGGTGATCCTATTGAGGGATCAGCGGTGTCGTTCGCTAGCAAGGCTCTGGACTCACGGACTGTCAACCGATCAGTGATATCTTCGGTGAGCAAGGCTCGAGCTCAATGGCAGATAAACACACTCACGGACTGTCGACGGAATCAGCAATTTCAATGGTCAGTGGAGCCCCAATTCGACTGCAGGCACTTACATGCTGTGAATGGATGGCCGATGTATTCAGTCAGTATGGCTTGAGTTCGATGGTGGATCGAGAAACTCACAATCTGTTGACAGAGCGGTGTCGTGTTCGGTCAGTTAGAACGACATAGAATCAATACACCCACATCCTAACAATAAATCAGCGATTGCATCGATTAGGAAGGAAGGAGGGCTGCACACTCACAAGCTGGCAACGAATAGACGATATCTTCGGTCAGTAGCTGAAAGTCGGTGAAGGATTGATGTACTGACCTCCTGCCAATAGATGATCAATCGGGTTGGTCAGGAATGCTTGAACTCGACAAAGAATCAATGGACTGACATTCTATCAACGGATCAGTGGGCGATGGCTTGATTGAGGAAGGCTACGCTTGATGGAGGATCAAACACTCACACGCTTTGAGCAGTAGGCAGACTTCAATCAGCGTGGCTGGAGCTTGAAGGAGGATTAAACACTCACACGCTTCGGGTAGTGGGTAAAGACGTGGATCAGCATGGATCTTACGCGAACGAAGATCGACGCACTCACGTTCTGCGAACGGTGGGCAATGACTTGGATTAGCATGGTTCTTGCTCGAACGAGGGTCGATACACATACCAACTGCGAACGGTGGGCAACGACTTGGATTAGCATGGCTCATGATCGAACGAGGATCGACACACTCACGAACTGCGAACGGTGGGCAACGATCTGGATCAGCATGGCTCTTGCTCGAACGAGGATCGAGATACTCACGTTCTGCGAACGGAACGACTTGGATCAGGGTAGCTCATGCTCGAACGAGGATCGACACACTCACGTTCTGCGAACGGTGGGCAACGACTTGGATCAGCATGGTTCTTGCTCGAACGACGATCGACACACTCACGAACTGAGAACGGTGGGCAACGACCTGGATCAGCATGGCTCTTGCTCGAACGACGATCGACACACTCACTGTCTGAGAACGGTAAGCAACGACTTGGATCAGCATGGCTCTTGCTCGAACCAAGATCGACACACTCACCAACTGTGAACGGTGGGCAACGACTTGGATCAGCATGGTTCTTGTTCGAACGAGGATCGACACACTCACCAACTGCGAACGGTGGGCAAGGACTTGGATCAGCATGGCTCTTGTTCGAACGAGGATCGACACACTTACGTTCTGCGAATGGTGGGCAACGACCTGGATCAGCATGGCTCTTGTTCGAACGAGGATCGACACACTCACGTTCTGCGATTGGTGGGCAACGACTTGGATCAGCATGGCTCATGCTCGAACGAGGATCGACACACTCACGAACTGCGAACGGTGGGCAACGACTTGGATCAGCATGGCTCATGCTCGAACGACGATCGACACGCTCACATACTGCGAACGGTGGGCAACGACTTGGATCAGCATGGCTCTTGCTCGAACCAAGATCGACACACTCACCAACTGCGAACGATGGGCAACGACTTGGATCAGCATGGCTTTTGCTCGAACGAGGATCTATACACTCACCAACTGCGAGCGGTGGGCAACGACTTGGATCAGCATGATTCTTGCTTGAACGACGATCGACACACTCACAGGCTGTGAACGGTGGGCAACGACTTGGATCAGGATGGCTCTGGCTCGAACGACGATCGACACACTCACATCCTGCGAACAGTGGGCAACGACTTGGATCAGCATGGCTCATGCTCGAACGACGATCGACACACTCACTGTCTGCGAACGGTGGGCAATGACTTGGATTAGCATGGTTCTTGCTCGAACGAGGGTCGATACACTTACCAACTGCGAATGGTGGGCAACGACTGGGATCAGCATGGCTCATGCTCGAGCGAGGATCGACACACTCACGAACTGTGAACGGTGGGCAATGACCTGGATCAGCATGGCTCTTGCTCGAACGAGGATCGAGATACTCACGTTCTGCGAACGGTGGTCAACGACTTGGATCAGGGTGGCTCTTGCTCGAACGACGATCGACACACTCACGTTCTGCGAACGGTGGTCAACGACTTGGGTCAGCATGGCTCTTGCTCGAACGAGGATCGACACACTCACGTTCTGCGAACGGTGGGCAACGACTTGGATCAGGATGGCTCATGCTCGAGGGAGGATCGGCACACTCACTGTCTGAGAACGGTGAGCAACGACTTGGATCAGGATGGCTCTTGCTCGAACGAGGATCGACACACTCACTGTCTGAGAACGGTGGGCAACGACTTAGATCAGCATGGTTTTTGCTCGAAAGAGGATCGATACACGAACTACCTGCAAGTAAACGCCCAACGTAAATGAGAACAACCTTCGAACTTTATGATAATCTTACAATAATGTGTGGAAACCAGGCGCCCAATGTCTTTATTATCCTCTCATAACCCTTAGATGTTGTTGTCTCAGCAGAGTCAATATGTTTTGAGAGTATTCTGGACAATATCAGTTACTAGCGCTTGCGGCAGGTGAATGAGACCATAGGTAGTTACCTCTCAACTCCATATTTCATGCAGATCTCCATGTTGGTCTGCTGTGTCGATACGAATAATTGCTGAAGTACTTCATTGTCCAGAGTTCCAGCCGTATGTTCGACGAGAATCCCGCAATCTGCACTATCCTTGTCCATGTCTAATAGATCAACAGTCATCGTGTATCGGGACTCAATCATGAACCGGCTTACTAGGAAGGCATACGTGACATTTTGGAGGCCATCGGACTTCCTTGAGAAACTTCAATTGTGGCCCGTCAGCGAATGACTCTTCAGCGTGTCCCGGGGCCAGCTCCTTAGCGTCTTTCCGAGATTTTCCTTCCTTCCTTAGCTTTGTGAATGCGACGTCGTATAGGGCGTCAAACTTTGTGAATAATACGATGACCGGTACTGAGGATTGTGATTCTGCGCATCAGTCGAACGTCAACGAGGGTGGAATGCGAAATCTTACTACTTCCAGTGTCGCATTGAGAGAAAAATTTATTTTCACCTGCAGTGAATGACCTACTAGCCTCGTCCATGGGAATGCAGTACCTATGTTGAATCTGTGAGACGGCATGTTGTCGCGATTTATCGGTTGCAATTACCAGATGGCATGTAGTTGATTCCTTATGTTCGTTTCCTTGGAACGGCGGGTGATGAATGTCTTGACCTTTTCGAATTCGGATACGCCGCCTGCCTCAAAACCACGTGAATCATGGAAAATGAATCCCGGATTGCTCTCAAACACCATTTCGGTTTCGATGTCATGCAGTCCGCGCTGAGAGCACGTCAGCTCATGGCATCAACTGAGAGCACACCTTACCTCTCTTGATGCCGTCAAAACTGCAACATCGATCTGATGTCGATCAGTCAGTAACATCCTCCTACTAGCAATGTGATGTCCACCTTTTTGCCGGCGCTGTTGTATATTTGTGGATTATCCCGTGTGTTGCAAACTCTCTGCAGGATAGTGGTTTTTCCTGCATTGGCTCTTCCTATGACGAGGATCCGAAAGCGACCGATTTTCTTTCTTATCTTTGCAGGATCCATGATGGGGGAAGTGGTACTAGTAAATGTCAGTCACGGAGAAGCGTTGGTGTAGCCTTATAATCAGTGCAGGGCGTCATGAACCCGGCAAATACCATTCGGTAGTTGGGTAACAGGCAATCTAAGAAGTAAAGTACAACGGTTTTCGGAAATGTTCGCGCGCTCGCGTGGCTTTCGCGTATTTCGCCAAAGGCCATGTGGTTTTCGCTTACCTCGCTTAACCTCGATTTGGAAACTCGCGTGGTTTTCATGTATATTTCGAGCGGCGACTCAAACAACGTCACCCATTGGGAATGTTGCGCAACAACATTGGTAACTGTATGTGTACATGGCATTAAATAATGTGTTTGAGCAGGGGGACAACAGGATTTGAGTGTTTTGCCTACTGCAACTATTAGTAGTGACTGTATATGTACATAAATGGAACAACATATGATACAATTACAGACAGGGAGATAACAAATGTGGTGACAGGAGATAAGATTCAAATAAAAAAAGGAGACAAAGACAATGTAGACTCAAAAACCAGAGAATGCGATGACAGGAAAATGGGGAAATGGGAGAACAGGAGACAGGAGATGGGAGACTGAGAGAACAGAGACGGCAGACGGCAGACGGCAGATGGGAGACAGGAGACAGGAGATGGGAGACAGGAGATGGGAGACAGGAGACGGGAGACAGGAGACAGGAGACAGGAGTAGGAAGTAGGGAGTAGGGAGTAGGGAGTAGGGAGTAGGGAGTAGGGAGTAGGGAGTAGGGATTAGCATGGGTATACCCCATGGTAACATTTTTTCCAATCACATATATTACCATTTGAAAGCACATGTACAACTTCAAAATTTTATACTGATCCATCACTCCTATGGTAATCAATTTGGAGGTATATTCCCAGGGGTACAGGGGTCTTCAGATCCAAACCCCTACCCCTACCCTCAAGGGTTTCCCATACCCCTGCTGATCCCTAGATGGGAAGCAGGGAAAAATGGGAAAACAAATACATTCAATGATACTGTTACATATTTTGTATTTTTATATTGGTCAAAATCCTGCTCAAAGAACATAGCACTGACTGATTGTATGTAGTACTATGTACTTTTATGTGGTGTGATAGATTGTACTTTGAGTTTTTTTGAAAAGCTGCTCATAAATATATTTCAAAATCATTCAAAATGCACAATTTATTAGGATGCAGCCTGAGGCCAGGAAGCCAAAGGAGGGCGTAGCCCTCCTTGGCTTCCTGTGACGAAGGAACAACACTCATTTTTCTCCCCTGAAGGAGCGCGTAGCGCTCCTTTGATTTGTGCCGAAGGCACAACGGGCGTGAGCTCGTACGCTTAGATTCGCCTAAGGCCACATGGTTTTCGCTTACCTCGCTTGAACTTCTATTTGGAAACTCGCGTGGTTTTCATGTATATTTCGAGCGGCGACTCAAACAACGTCACCCATTGGGAATGTTGCGCAACAACATTGGTAACTGTATGTGTACATGGCATTAAATAATGTGTTTGAGCAGGGGGACAACAGGATTTGAGTGTTTTGCCTACTGCAATTATTAGTAGTGACTGTATATGTACATAAATGGAACAACATATGATACAATTACATACAGGGAGATAACAAATGTGGTGACAGGAGATAAGATTCAAATAAAAAAAGGAGACAAAGACAATGTAGACTCAAAAACCAGAGAATGTGATGACAGGAAAATGGGGAAATGGGAGAACAGGAGACAGGAGATGGGAGACTGAGAGAACAGAGACGGGAGACGGGAGACGGGAGACGGGAGACGGGAGACGGGAGACTGGAGACAGGAGACGGGAGACGGGAGACAGGAGACAGGAGACGGGAGACGGGAGATGGGAGACGGGAGTAGGGAGACAGGAGACAGGAGACGGGAGACAAGAGACAGGAGACAGGAGACAGGAGACAGGAGACAGGAGACGGGAGACAGGAGTAGGAAGTAGGGAGTAGGGAGTAGGGAGTAGGGATTAGCATGGGTATACCCCATGGTAACATTTTTTCCAATCACATATATTACCATTTGAAGGCACATGTACAACTTCAAAATTTTATACTGATCCATCACTCCTATGGTAATCAATTTGGAGGTATATTCCCAGGGGTACAGGGGTCTTCAGATCCAAACCCCTACCCCTACCCTCAAGGGTTTCCCATACCCCTGCTGATCCCTAGATGGGAAGCAGGGAAAAATGGGAAAACAAATACATTCAATGATACTGTTACATATTTTGTATTTTTATATTGGTCAAAATCCTGCTCAAAGAACATAGCACTGACTGATTGTATGTAGTACTATGTACTTTTATGTGGTGTGATAGATTGTACTTTGAGTTTTTTTTGAAAAGCTGCTCATAAATATATTTCAAAATCATTCAAAATGCACAATTTATTAGGATGCAGCCTGAGGCCAGGAAGCCAAAGGAGGGCGTAGCCCTCCTTGGCTTCCTGTGACGAAGGAACAACACTCATTTTTCTCCCCTGAAGGAGCGCGTAGCGCTCCTTCGATTTGTGCCGAAGGCACAACGGGCGTGAGCTCGTCTAAGAAGTAAAGTACGACGGTTTTCGGAAACGTTCGCGCGCTCGCGTGGCTTTCGCGTATTTCGCGTATTTCGCTTACCTCGCTTAAACCTGTTTTTGGAAATCTCGCGTGGTTTTCTCGCGTGCGCTCGCTAAGACTAAGACTAAGACTATCTAAGAAAAAGTGTGAAAGAAAAATCTGAGAGAAATTTTTACAAGTCCGAAAATACTGCCAAACGCGATATAGTGGACAGTATTACTCACGCCTACTGCGCCACGGGAATGCAACGGACAAACAACAGACTTTTCCTACTATATGGGAAAGGCATCGAGAATAACAAAAGCAATAATAGAAATTTGATTACACTTTTGGTTACACAAATCATTACACAACTTGGCTGCTGCTTTTGAATAGAATTCTCGAGTTAAACTGCCTTTCCCTGCAGCCAAGTGTAATAAAGTGTGATACACTTTTTGTGGGTATTATTTCTTATCAACAATGATAGAAACTTATTCATCAGTTCAGGCAAATTTTTGCACTCGCTAAACAACTGTTTGAATTTAACAACCATGGATGGATATATACCTATTCTGTGAGTTGTTTGCTATGTGCAATGTGCATGATGCTCATATTTTGCACATTAGAAATCCAGAACAAATCACGCCTGAACGTGATCGACACTCCCAACGCGAGCATGACAGGCTCAATCGACTTCAAATGACTTCTCCTACCAGGCGCAATCGTCGTCGTGCTGCCCATGATAATCAGGACAGGCCTCTGCCTCCTGCACCACAGCCAAATTTCATGCCGGCTAATGTGCCACAAGCAGGACCCGTTCCACGACCTTTTGCTTGGCAACCTCCCCCTCACTTTCCATATGAGCCACTACCAGTCGGGCAATATCCTGGCTTGCCACGAAATGCAATTGCACACGTGCAGCGTGCTCATCATGTTCCTCCAATTGATTACAATGCACGCTTGAATGAGCGAGTGAATGCTGCTCAAAATGACAGACGCCGTCAACGTGCTCATCGTCGGCGACAAGACAGAGATGAGATAAGACAGCAGGTGCAAGAAGTGCTCATGGCAGCTGGGATGCAGCCTCCACAGGCGCCTCACATTCCTGATGATGAACCTGTTCAACCTGCTCCTCCTGCTCCCCCTGTATATGGCGCTGTTCATTATGAGGGCGCAGTTGGTCCACATAACATTGACAATCCCCTCCGCTACTTTGCACGTGATCCTGCCCCACCTTTACATGCACCACTTGAACCTGATCATGATCAATTTAATGTTCAGTTTCGACATCATTTCCAAGAACAGCAAATGGAAAATGAGCGCATTAGAAATGATCTGCTTGGGCAGCCACCCGTGTCCTTAGGTGCCGTGTTCTTAGGGATGGAGACGATGAAGATCAGCAGGTCGATGAGAACACAGTCCTAATCCCTCGCATCACTATGGAATCCAGCTCTGAAGAGAACCCAATCCCCCTCAAGCGTCGCCAGTTTCCTGTTCGTCTTGCATTCGCTATGACAATCAACAAGGCGCAAGGTCAAAGCGTCAAGTGGGTTGGCCTTAATTTACGGACTCCTGTATTCAGCCATGGACAACTCTATGTGGCTTTATCTCGCTGCACCCACCCAGACAGGGTGTTTGCTATCTTTCCGGAGCATGAAGAAGGCTCAAATACAACCAATGTAGTATATACAGAAGTGCTTAGAGGACTCACAGATCGTATCAATGATTGATGTACTTATATATATAGAACTGACTGATCTTATGTACTATGTACTTTTAGTTTTCTTGAAATGCTGCTCATAAATGTACCTCTTTTCGAAATCCACTATCAAGGCGTGATCTTATTCAAAATGCACGATTTATTAGGATGCAGCCTGAGGCCAGGAAGCCAAAGGAGGGCGTAGCCCTCCTTGGCTTCCTGTGACGAAGGAACAACACTCATTTTCCTCCACTGAAGGAGCGCGTAGCGCTCCTTCGATTTGTGCCGAAGGCACAACGGGCGTGAGCTCGTCTTGTCAATATAGGAGAGCTGTGTGCCATGAGGCGTACGAAGAGTGTTGGCATTTTGATGTTAGTCATGGCACATGAGTTGGTCGAAGCTCGCTCTAATGTGCTTTTGAGCAGTTCATTTTTGGACTAGCTCAGGTTTGCGTTCGTAAAGCATAGTACTTTTAGTTATATTACACCCTGAGCCGGTAATATCAGGCAATTTATGTCAAGATGCGTTATCAAGATTATCGAAAACAATCATTGTCTCATCCCCCCAGTCACCATGACACCTTCTACCAGTGGCGAGCTTGATCACCGCCCTTGCCAACACCTGCTGCTCGTGCGCATGTAGATTCCCGCACTTTCATGGACGCGGATACTTGCATTGACATAGGCGCTTGCACCGACGCGAACTCCTGCATTGACGCGGATGCCCGCATTGACGCAGATGGGCCCGCACTTATGCTCACGCGGATGCGTTCTTACTACTTTTGCTACTAACTGTCTCATGTATCCTCACCTCGATACGTCCCATTGCGGCTCCTATAATTCAGGGATTCAAGGTTCACTTTGGTGCATCGCATTCGCTCCTACGCCGCCCTCACTGATGTGGGAATAGCAGCTCACCTCGGCTCACTCTTGCACAGGTCGGGGTCACTACCAGGGCCCTGCTTGCAACCAAACAGACATTTTTCTCGTTCTCAGTAACACAACCGCATCAGAGCACCCACGTAGTTTGTATCTACTGGTAAGTACTCTATTCATAAATTACGCGCACGGTTCGATGAAAGCTAACAAGTCACGATGTCCAACAAAGATGAAAGAGAAAACTTTAGGCGATTCTCTCCTTCCATCCTCTCAGTCTCACCGCCAGCACCTGTGAAGAGACAGGTAAAGCGGAAGCACAAGTTGTTAGGCTCGTGGAAGGTCCTGCATGTCGTTGCAGGTGTCGCAAGGGATTCCCGAGCCAATGATATGTATCTCGCCATACGATAATGGGTCCAGGATTGTAGGTTCTTGAATAACGTAACGATCTTTTTTACCTCGAACGCATGTATGCGCAGGATCCGTTCCACCATCATGATGGGGGGAATTGTGGACCCGGAAGTACTCATCACGAATATTGCGAGAGTCTTAGGTAGATGTGGTGATATCTTGAAACTCGGCCGCCTTCGCCGCAAGATCACACCTGAGGCCTGAAGCTTTGAAGATCTGAAAGGTCCATTTTTCGATCACTTACATTTCCAGATCGACACCTGAACTCCTCACCAGTCTGTCATGATCAATCAATCATTTCTTATGCTGATAGAGGCTGCCTAGTACTGTCGTGGTCCCGCTGAAATCATTTTTGTACCTCAGACTCGTTTCAGATCATGATGATCCCAGGTGGAATTGTCTAGTTAGCATTTGACACAACGCCTGGATGGAGTGCGGCATATCAATTAAATCATTCAATGGCGCGCATGCAAGAAGGCACAAGACAGATATAAGTAGAACATGGATTTCCGAGTGGTGTTATTGGATAGCGTAAGACAGAAAAAGAAAAGTGCGGTGATGAAAATGGTACTTTGGTCAAATAGTGCAAAAAAGTACTCAGTCCGTCTCCTCGGACTCAGGGCTTCCATTCGAAAGATCGAGATAGCTGTAGACTTCGTCCCGCTGCTTCAGAAAGTAAATTTCGAAGTCCCATGAGTCTCGCTGGTCGGTGGCTCGGTCAATGCGAGGGAGCATTTGGGAAGAGGATATGTGCAACAGCTTCGACATCTGTCAAACGAGACCGGGTCAAGTTCGATGATTCTAGGGCGGTATGTTGAAATGACTCAACTGTAAAACCGATATCAATTCTTGCGGCGTCCGTTGCTACGTCCAACCTAAGCAAGCATAGACCATTGAGAGAGCACAGTGAATAGTCCGCGGAAGACGGTGGGTACCGTTTCTCCATCCACTGATTCCAACGAGCGGACGTGTAGCCAACTTGCCATGGCTTCCGAAAGACGGTTGTATCAAGTTTGAAGCAGCGATGAGGAAGATCGAGCTGCAGGGTCCAGAGCTGAGTAAAACCAAAAAAATTGTGTGATCACCGTCAAAGAGCTCCTCGAGGGCTTCCCGACTGTTGAACCAGGGGAGGTGTTGGATGTTGTGATTTACCTTGCAGTCGGAGAGTGCGCGACAGAGTTGCTCGGTCTTTGTCCAAGGCGAAACACTGACTTCCATTGGGGAGATTTGAAAATGCTTGCCTCTTTTCGCATGCACACGAGCACCTCATCTTTCGAGAGGACCATAGCTATGGTGCTACACGGTTGAAATGTTCGGTGAGTCCTAGTCAGTGCCAAGCGAAAGGACACGACCAGTCCTCAAACGTTGATGGTATCTTCCGAATCATCTCCCGCACGCTCCAAATATTCTGCCTCCACCCGCCAATTTATAATACTATTCATCGTCAATTCCGCACGTTACATACCTGTCCAATTCATTTGATCCATCAACTCTGGCGCAAGTGACTGCACCGGCCATCTGGAAACGCAACCTCATCTCCAGCCCCCTCTTGATACGTAAAGCCTCAAATGAGCAGGCCTACCCACAGCACCAACAGTCCACATAAGCTTCCGCGTCCACGGGAGGGTACAAGCACTCCCTAGTACATTCGCCCTCCTCGCGTTTACCTGCAGGACCTCACTACGAGCGGTCCGCGCCAATGCCTGCGTCTGCGTGGAACAAAACCAACACAATAGCAACAGTTGGTAAACATGGGGCTTATCCGTCGCGTGCCACTCAGCCAACATCAGCTCGACAACAGGCATCTTCGTGCTTGTCTTCCTCATCAGATGTTTTAGCGCCCGTGGATGGTAATACGAGCATGCCAGGCAGGGGGAGGAATTATGCTTACCTGCTACATCCACTGTCATAGCATGATACGCCGAAGGGAACAGAAGAGGGAAAAATGTGGTGTAATTTGGGAGTATTATTTTCGGATGGTGTCCACAGCTGGTATGTCTTCCGCCACCCACCTTTTTCATCCTTTGGTCCGTGTTGATCTCGCCAAGTAGACTTGACTGTCCCTTCATGTTCGGCTCACGAAGGCCATCACAGCATATTTCAGCGTGGCGCGACTGCAAATCGATACTCTGATTGCCAACAGATCTTCAATTTCTTGTAGTATCAGTATCACTCGACCTCATCAAAAGATGTCCATGTCTTGAATTGTACATCGGGATGCTGACACGGACGTTATCATAACTACCGTTGGTCGCGGCAAGCTCTCACACGGGATTCAGTTGTTAGACGGATTAGACAGGCAAGTGTTTTCTAATGGTCCTCTTTAGACGTTCTCGTACGTTGATAAGACACGCACAAACACAGCGGTCACAAGGTTCCACGGAATATCATATCATAAGTGACATCCAACGCTGCAAATTTCTCCTTGGACCAAATACAAACATTTTACAGGCGGACATTTGCCGGAGACGGGAACAAAGAATATCTGGTATTGAAAAATAGTGAAACGCTGGGAAACGGTAAGGGTATCGTTCACCATCTCTCTGCTACGTTGGAGCTCACACTTCGTCAAAGTTTCTCTTATCGTCGTCCTTACTAAATACGACGTGCTCATCGGTTGCATAGAGCGAATCTTAGATGAAGCCTCTCGATGAATCGAGCGACAAGGATATCAAGGTGCTCACCAAGGAAAAAGCGGAAGCGGAGCTGCAGGATATCTGCATTCGACCTCTAGAGCAATTTCCAGGGCCCATACTACGATCTCTAGTTTGTATCAATTTTGACGCGCTTGCATGTTTATAAGACACGCATGATACAATAAGAACCGATTGGAGCCATGGCATACGAGAATTCTCCATCGACTTGATACCGACATCCTGGAAGTCGATTTCTCCTTTGTTCCACGATGGCGTCGTACGTCAGTCCCTCTATAACAGGCATCTAGACCTCAGGTTGTGATCCATGCGATCGATAACCTATCATAATGGTGAGAATAAGAATTGGTTTTGGTTTTGACCATGGCATGCACATTGCAAAGGAGTGACCAACGCTGAATGTATATCATGCATCTACCTTATAAACTTCAGAACCAACAGCTATGATCGTCTGCGCATTTGTTATCCCTCAAATAACTTCCGCTCACAGTCAGATCTTTTCAAAGATCTCATCCATCACCGGTGCACCAGCTGGAGTCACCGACGTTACCAGGAACGTTCGATTTCACGTGTCTACGCAGAGTGTAAGGTCAAAATCACAATAAACGGGATCATTTAACGCACGAGCTTACGACTTGCAAAGATCAAGACGATATCCATGTCACCATCATATTGCTCCAAAAACTCGTTGTCGTGTTGTGATGCGACCTTTTGGTATACCGTCCAGAATCGCGATCGCTAATCACTTGCTCCCTTTTCCACGATGTTGGAACTTCGAAGAGTGTCGAGGATTTGCTGCAACAATCTAAGCAATTTTTCAGCACGAGCACCGGTCAAATCACTTACTGCTCAGATGACTTATCGCTAAGAGAGTCAGAAAGTCCAATTGCATCATTATTGAGTGTGGACTGGGCACTTGGCGGGGTAAACTTTGCATGCCATGTAGCAAGGGACTGAGATGATAGACTTCGAGCTCTAAGTTCAATTTCAGATGTGTTACAGGTATGTGGAGCGGGCACACTTACGGTCGATATGTGCCATCTACTTGAGGATACCGCACGTCATTTGGTTCTCTGTATCTCGGTCAGCTGTAGCGACATCGTGGAAGCAGAAGGACCACACTGAAAGTAAGCGGCCCTACGGACGCTCTTGTCAGGAACGAAAGCACCAGTGTCCATTGAAGGACAACGGAAATTGTTGCATTCGTATCGTAACCCACCACCAAAAGCCTTGTCGCGTGTCTACGCATTTCGAGAGTGAGTCGTGACTTTCCAAACTTGTCTTGCCATTGCCTAATAATCATTCCTGAGAGTTTGTCCACGCCGTGGAGTTTCCAACCACCGTAGACCAAGAACAGACGAGCACGGCGACACTCCTTTCAATGAAATTTATTCTAAGTTATTCCTCAGATTTTGCACCTACAGAATGTTAAGAGGGTAGAACCACTGAAAAAGTACATTCAACGTCTTTGTTTTTGAGACACGCCTCGCGTTTACCATACCAGATGCCGTATTGCATCTTCGCACTCGAGGGGCTCCAACCACGCTGCCGAGTGGTACTTTATCCTTCGATATGGCCATTGCTCCATCAGCTCTATCGACCCATCATCTAGGCGGATGACATTCCAGACATTCTCGTCGATACGCACAAGCCGCACGTTGGAAAAGCCCTGGTCGACCACGTTGATGACGGAGCGTATCGGAAAGTTTGTCATACCAATGAACGTGAGAAGGGGAGGGACTCCGGGACGCAATTGCTATAATAGAATACATTAGTACTACTCTTCTTGTCAATGACGGGCGTCATCGACTCACGTTTATGAAAAGGAGAAGGTCCTCTGCAGGCGGTACCATAATATCCATGGTGAGCGCACGAACACTTCGCGGAATAAGCCACCCTGCTAGCGAAGGAGAAAGATCTCTAGGATAAGTGATATAAAGACTGCGGAGGTTCGTTAGAGAAGGTAGTACACCCCAAGCAGACGCGTCAAAACCAATGCGACGATGGTCTCCACTAGGCACGGTGAGGTGGAAGGAATGAAGATGCTTGCGATCTCTCAAGAATTCCGAGATAGCAGGCACGAGGTCCCTGTCTGTGACATGCCGATGCAGACTGATAATATTGAGAGCAAAATGCGTCAGAAACGGAAGCGAGGACCTATGCAGGCGGAACGTTGCTGATGGAGTGCATTCCAGAATACCTGACAATGTCAGTGACTCCAGTTGGTGGCCAGTGGACAAGATCTCTGAGAAGATCTGGCTATCTACGGAAAAACAGCCCTCAAACTCGATGACCGTCAAGTGACGGACGGAGATGGCATCCGTTGGGAATTTCCAGTGTGCGTTCTTGATGGACAGCGAGCGTAGGTTGTCATGACTCTGTGATATAAAGTCGTGGGTAGATGTGCTGTTCCCTCCTTCAGCTGTGATGGAGAAATGTGTAATGTGCTTGAATGGTGGGATATCAATGTCCCCTGAACGATCAACAAGACTGTGCGGAGCGTGAACATGCAGGCCGTTTTGGGGCGAAAGGAAGTATGAAACGACGTACTTGATGGACAGGCTATAAAGACGATGGTTTGAGGCACACAATGTTTCAAGCATGCGATTGATTAGTCCACTGTTGCCCGAACAATGCACACTGCGGAGGTTGCAGAGCTTAGGTAAAGAGTTTATTAACATTCCTAGGGAGGATTGAGACATAGTAAACGCTGAAGAATGAGCACAAACCGGTCTGAAACGCCAATGTATGCGACGCGTCTGAAACAACAGCAGATACGCTTAAGCTTCTGACCTGCGAGGCAAAGACGGGATCGACGAGAATGCGGGTAAGAATATCTGCGCTTCGCTGGTAGTGCCAGGCGTCGAGTTCCTGTTCTTCCTGGCTGCCATTGACACCCCTGTATCTGTTCTCGGCTCTCGGGGGGTCCGGCGATGCCGTGAAATGAAGATCGATGTCGCGGAAGATGAGCTGACTTGCGATGCGAGAGAGTGCATGCGGGACCGATAAAAGAGACTTAAGATCACGTTTGGGAAGACACAGAGCAATTTCTCTCCAAACTTCGGCCGAAAAACGAGGCGGACCGTCAGGTTCCCTGACAAGCTTGATATTATTTGCTAAAGGGACGTTATAAAAGGGTTGCACAAGTTACCATTTCTTGTCGTAAATGCTCAGATTGTATTATGGCTTTGACGTCTTGATTCGCAGGATCTGAACCTAACACGGACAGCAAATCTGAAAGATAGTGATATCAGCACGCTGACGGGACCTAAGGACATGCATGAACCCGACCTTGTTGTGCAGAAGTTCGGTACCCAGCTGCTAAACGGGTTTTGGCACGTAATAAAAGAGCTCTTGCGACATCTGGTGGTGGAACGCCTGAGACTTGGAGAAAGGACTGAATAGCATTCTCCATGACAATTCGGGACCTTTGTGATACACAACGGTCTAGATTTTATTTTATAAACAAGTAATTGGACGAACGTACCCTTCGGACGGCAGATGTTGCAAAGCGTGGAGAAGAACATCAGCCTTTTGAACGTCGGACAGACACCCCGTCACATCGCGGATGCTGGCATCAAGAATGCGAGGATTGAAAACATTCATGAGGAAATTCCCTGGGGCTACTGGTTGCTTCGCTGGTACGAGTGATAATGGGGGGTTTAAGTGCGGTCCAAAGGACTTTGTATGGTAAATATGTTATACGTTCATTTTCGTGATTCCTGTCCAGAACCATGTATATCATCGCACGATGGTCGAGACTACACGTTTTAGGCACGTTTTAGGAAGTCGTCGCACAGATATTTTCCCAGGCTCCAGCTAGATGCCGCGGTCAGCGGAAGGGCCTAGCTTGGCTTGGTACAAAGTTGTGTCTATACGCCTTGGCCCGCCCCAGAGTCCAGACCCATCGCATTTGACACTCAGGTCCCCGTCTTAGCATGGCCCGTGATAATAGTACCGGTTGCGGCGAGGAGCTTCGGAACGAGCATGCTGCCAGGGAACTCAGCTCCAAAGCAGCGAGTTCTGAATAGTTGTCTGCCATTGAGGACTGGTAGTGGTGAGGAGCTTCGGAACAATCATGCTACCAGGAAATTCAGCAAGGTCCATTTGGAAGTATTCAACGAGTATGCTAAAGGATGATCAGCAATAGTGCACGCAATACGATGACTATACACTTACTTTCATACAGCATTTTCATATGCTCCGCGGCCTGACTTGTTGGGATCCGAGCCTGTCTCCTCCTTTGCAGCTCTGCGGATGGCTTGAAGTGAGCAATCAATGAAGTTCCAGAATTTTGATGACGTGAATTTCGGACCCTTGCTGTTCTTTCCTTTGGTAAATCCAGAGCCGCCATCGTCAACCTCAAGTTCTTGCTCGCTGGTTTCCTCCTCCTCCTCCTCCTCCTCCTCCTCCTCCCCCTCCCCGTCCCTAATCTCAAGAAGCCCATATGACTCTCCACTGTCCATGGTGCGCTCTTCCTCTCCAAGGTTATTGCCGTGATCATTAGTCGCTCCGAGATCTCCTTCGCAGTGTTCATCTGAATGGTCCACATTGCCTTCGGCATTATCTGCATGCTGCTCATCATTCTCGCTTACCTCCATATCTATGTCACAATCAAGTCCCTCTGAGATTTTGACGCGGAGGTCTCTATGAAGAGAAGGAATAAGTGAGCTCGAGTAAAGCTCCTTGAGAGGAATAGCTCTGTAGTCGCCGACCCCAATAAGGAAGATGCGCAAACAGCGCCGCTAGAGTTGTGTTACGAACTCAACAAATTGCTTTAAAATGAGAACGTACTAAAAATGCATATCTATTCCAATGAGCAGCGTCAACCTCAATTATACTGTGAGCGAGTGATTTAGCCATGTCCATGATACTCATTCGCTTAACGAGCAATGCGACCAACTGAAGGGCAGTCAATGTCATAATGGTATGCATGCTCAATGAAAGACAAACCTTCGTCTTGAGATTGCCGCGAATGGAAGAGAGCAATTCACTGACAATTTTCGAAAGCTGTGCCAAAAGCTCCACGTCGTTGATTAACCCAGCTGGGATTTTGAATACCTCTCGATGGTTCTTGATGAATTCCTGTTGCAGAGTCAATTCTCATGTAGCTACAAGGGTACATCAGTAAACTACAACTTTCTCACAGAGGTCACACACATGGGGCCTCACAACAGTAAGTCACGAGGCTCCACAGTTCACACAGGCTCACAGTTCATAGCGACACAACAATTACAGTCGCTCATAGCTAAACAAGACTCACAGTTAAACAGGGCCAAGGTCATAATCTAGTACTATAAAGTTGTTTGACTTGAGGCTCAGCCGGACTCAAACAAAAGTGTGACAAGAATTGATTCGGAACATATGGCTCAAAGCTACATAGCATAACTATGGAAATACCAAATATATAGACAAGGACAACATAACACAAAATGATGATACAAGACCTCGAATAATCAATCAAGAATTATTCCAGAACGTCGCCCGTGTAAACCTTCCAAGTGTGAAGCATTAGAATCAACAATATTGCAAGAGAAAGGACACACGTACCACGCAAACTTGATGGACCTTGTTCTTGTGACGGACGACTGGGAGGGATGTGGGACCAACAGTGGTCTCTAAAAACAACTCTCATACATCCCAGCTGTTACGATGGTAAGTCGCGTGCGAACTGGGATGATCTAACAGCGACGATCACGACAATGATACCACGTGCTGAGAGTCCAAGGTCGGCTCCCACAGAAGAGCAGGAGTTGCGTACGTTTGCGGAGGCGAACGATGATAGCGGTTTACAGGCAGAAGGGGTCTCAAGTCCTTCTGAAGGTACGGATCTGATGTCAAGCAGGTAGCTTTAGCAAGACAAAGGTTTCGAGGTAAAACCCAGTAGGATTAAAGTAAGGAACATCTACTTTAATCGTCGACCTTATATAAGGCTACTCTATCGTATCTAAGCTCAGCTTGAAGCTGGGTTCTAATCTGCTTATCTATCGAGTCAGAGATACCATGCATGAGGCAGGCTTCTATCAGTACATGAGGCAACACGAGGCTTGCCTTCTATCTTGATAACATACATAGGTCTTCTAGACCTATGTCGTCATATCATGTAAGCGATCCAGATCGCTTTACCTAATCCAGCATCTTCCGGACTTCTCTTCTATTCATCATCTATCATCAAGGCCTAAAGGCCCGGTTATCGTGCTGTTGCCGTGCAGGGTGGCAGAGGGCTGGTCGAGTAGCTGGGGGCTCTCGTAGTGACTGTAACATTACCCCATTACTACGCACAAAGTCACCGACTTTGATTTCTAAACATCTTCTTCCATCGTAGCGGTAGGTAGTGCGGGAATTGCTGACGTGGAGACGGAAGGTACTGAGGGAGGTTCAGGGGCAGGGGAAAGTTCGGTGGGATGCCGAAGTTCTAGATCCACGAGTGCCTTGTGGTTCTGCTCCCAATCTAAGAGAGCTTCAAAAAACTTCTCTTCATCACTAAACTCTTGGAGTACAATGCGTCCTTCGAGTCGTGGGCAGTGGATAGACAAATGGTCGGGTCCGAGTTCATCGCAGATGCAACAAACATAATCTGGACATTTTCTGAACTTATGTCCATATCCTCCGCAGCGCTTGCAGAGTGTGGTGCGGGTTCGATCTATGGTAGCCGCCTTTCTTCTTAGTGGGCGTACCAGGCGGGGTTCTTCTACAAGTGGCTTCACTTCAACTTTCTTTATCGCTAGGTCGGTGATATCGGAGAAGTCGAGGGGGAGTAAGTGAAGTGCGAAGTTTCTGATCCGCCGTTGCAGATGAAGTATAGCAAGTTTCCGAGTTGCTTCATCAAGGTCAACACGATTGGCTACATCTTCCAGCAGCTTCGTGGTTCGTATAATGCAGACGGTGAGGGATGTACATGCTGCAGTTCTGGCGTCTTGATCACCAAGGATTTCGTCGATCGCTTGGGAGTACGCGGGGGTCAGGATAGCAGCTTCATTGAATGCGCTGTTTTCCGTCATTTTGAGGACTGATCCGTAGTCTGAGTCCTTCAGTGCTATTTTGATAGAGTCATTGTCGATGGAGTTCATCATGATGATGGAGGTTTGTTGGGAGAGATGTTCAGGGATCGAGAGGGTTTATAACCTTCTTCCAGATCAATCCAAGCTCCGATTCAATCTAAACTTATCTTTATCGTTATCTCTTATCGTCTTATCTAGCCATGAGGCTAACTCGTGTTCGAGATTCTTCTTCACTATCAGAGGGAAAGTGCCGTGATAGGTACTATCATCCTTTATCTTTGTTTGAAAGATCAGGTCGTCATCAGAGGGTGGTCGTCATTGCCATGATGGGTTCTAGAGGGTTCCAAGGGCTTGCAGGAGTTTCCGTGGAGTTCGTCTCGTGATAGTTTTAGCCTCGTTCCGGAGGTCTAGTCTTCTTATCTTTTATAGATCCATTTCTGGGTTCTTTATTAGATGTCGAAGGTGGGGGTCCGAGCGTGGGTACCAAGGCTTTGTAGGAGTTTCTTGGGGTCGTCCAGCGGGGAGATCGTCTTCTATTACCCTTTGTTTATATATGGTCTACTCAGGTGGTCGAAGTGCAGTGATGTGAGGGGTCCCGAAGCTTGCAGGAGTTTTCCGGGGTTCGTCCTTGTTCATCGTCTAGTTTTATGTCATTACGGACAATCGTAGTTTTTAGAGTCTTTCCGGACTATATCTAGTTTAGGGTCATTACGGACCTGTCTACTCAGGTGGTCGAGTTCGGGATTGGTGATCAGTGTTCAGGGTGGAGTAGGCGTGGAAAAATAAGTTGGAGGATTTCACCCCCTTACTAAGCCATTAGTCACCGACTAATCATATCCAATCAGAAGTCTAGGCCATGGAGCGGGCCGTCGTTTTCGAAGTCGTTTCCTTCTAAATCTACCATTCGCAGATCATGCGAAGAGGGTGCATCATCATTATCTTCATCCTCGTCATTCTCGGAGTTGTTCATGTCGATAAAACGGACAAAACTGGGCCCGGCATCTAGTGCTTCCTTTTTTATTTCATTTTGACGATATGCTTCATGGATTAAAGCGATTCGTTCGATGAAAATATCCTGGGCTTCTTGTAACACAGGAGGGAGTTCGGTGTCAGAAGACAGCGTCATTGCGTCTTCGGAATTATGCGCGGGTGTCATGGAGAGGTTGAGGGAATTCGGCGGTTCATCAGCGGTTAAATACACTGGTTCGGGGTCTTCCTCCATTGCGGACTCAGGACTTTCATAGAATCTGAGTTTCTTGGCGGTAGGAGGTTCTTCGATTCGGACTGCTCGTCCTTTTCCGAGAACGGATATCGGTTCTCCGGAGAATTCGAATCTCTGAGTTATCTCTGGTTCAGGGGCCAGTCTGGGCGCCTTGGATACAGGCGGTTCTTCGTTCATTATTGCACATCCCTTCCCAAGGACTTGTGCGGGCTCTGCCGAGAATTCATATCGGGCAGGTGCAGGATCTTCTTCAATCTTCATTGGCTGAACAGCCGGTACAATCTTCTTTGTTCGTGGTGATTCGGGATAAATGTGGTCAGATATCAGCGCCGGTCTGGAAGTCTTCTTCTGAGTTGTCTCCGGATCAGTGGCCGGTCTCTTCTGTTCATATCTTTTTGCTGCAAGATCAATTCTAGGCAGCGAGTCTTTCTTCGTCACAGTTTTCGCGGGCTGTGGTGCGGTTTCTGAAGGTTCAACGGAGGTTCCGTTCTGCGGTTTTTCATGGACCGGTGCATTCTGTGTCGTTCGAGCTAATGGTACAGAGCCCGAAGAGAAGGTGCTGGGAGTAGTCGGGGATACCGATCGTTTTCTTTTCGATGCTACCTTCTTTTCTTCTTTCAGGAAGAGGGGTGTCTTGCCATTCTTCTTCCGATCAGAATCTATTTCTTTCTGCTTCTTTCGGGAATCTGCGGTACTTTTGAGGGTTACCGCGCCGGTTTTCCAATTGATCAGGGGGTTCTGGCTGGTAAGCCAAGGTCGTCCAAGCAGGAACTTGTCTTTCGGACCAAGTTCGGCTAGGTAAAACCGTTCGGAAATTACCCGTTCATCGATCTGGAAAGTAAGGTTGCAAAACCTTTCTATTGGCTTCTTTCCGAAGCAGGATCCGTCAGCGTTTGAGAGTGTCAGGGGGTTCTCTAGCTGGTGCGTCAAGATGTGGTGCTGCGTGATTATGTCCTGGTTGACGAAGGACTGACACGCCCCAGAATCTACGATCATAGATGTCGCGATGGGGTTACTTCTTGTTCTGGAAATCAGGGTGGCGTTCACCCGTAGATCATCCTTAGCCCCGGCCACCTTGATAGTGCGCAGGCGGGGTTCTTCTTCGATCATCTTTCTCCGTGAGGTTCGGGTCCATTGAGGACAGCTCGCGGCTTTGTGTCCGATGACGTGGCACACAAAACATTTCTTCTCTCGCAAACAGAGGCGAGTCTCCTTCCCGGTGAGGTGTGCAGCGGCGAAGGTGTTTCTGGTAGTTGCCATATTGGAGATGGTTTCTACGATCTTTGTGGTATCCTTTTCTTGGAGCTTTCCACAGTGACGGCGGTTCTTATATTCTTGCGACTGGTCAGGCCGGTACGATCAAGGTTCTAGATCAGAGATATGAAAATCTTTTTCGGGATCTGGGTTCGGGGTTCTACGAGTGTCGGTAACGTTGACAGCAAGTGCGATCAGTTATCTGGTAGCCTGTGATGGAGGCGTATGATAAGGAGACTTTAATCCTTTGTTACGACGGTAAGTCGTGTGCGAACTGGGATGATCTAACAGCGACGATCACGACAGTGATACCACGTGCTGAGAGTCCAAGGTCGGCTCCCACAGAAGAGCAGGAGTTGCGTACGTTTGCGGAGGCGAACGATGATAGCGGTTTACAGGCAGAAGGGGTCTCAAGTCCTTCTGAAGGTACGGATCTGATGTCAAGCAGGTAGCTTTAGCAAGACAAAGGTTTCGAGGTAAAACCCAGTAGGATTAAAGTAAGGAACATCTACTTTAATCGTCGACCTTATATAAGGCTACTCTATCGTATCTAAGCTCAGCTTGAAGCTGGGTTCTAATCTGCTTATCTATCGAGTCAGAGATACCATGCATGAGGCAGGCTTCTATCAGTACATGAGGCAACACGAGGCTTGCCTTCTATCTTGATAACATACATAGGTCTTCTAGACCTATGTCGTCATATCATGTAAGCGATCCAGATCGCTTTACCTAATCCAGCATCTTCCGGACTTCTCTTCTATTCATCATCTATCATCAAGGCCTAAAGGCCCGGTTATCGTGCTGTTGCCGTGCAGGGTGGCAGAGGGCTGGTCGAGTAGCTGGGGGCTCTCGTAGTGACTGTAACACCAGCCCAATATCTGTCTGATCTATCATCTTCTCGGCTGCTGCTGCACGGACTCTGAGCAGGCTCGCAAACACCTCATTTTCCCGTATCACGCAGTCTGCAAGCTCTTTCTGAGCGAGGAAGACATCGCGCTTGGCTCTTGCAAGATCCAGCACAAGGCTTGCCTCGGTGTTAGTTGGTTCATGGACTCCGGGCTATTCCAATATAAGGTGTGATGAAAAATGGCGGAAATGACGACTCGGATGGACTCACAATTGAATTTACAGCTTCGAGAATTTCGTATAGGTCACATATACCACGAGGTGCTCCCTCATTGTATTCGTTATTGGAGCGAGAAGAATCATCAGGGCAGGAAGCAAGTGCTGACAGTGATCGCAAAGTAGCAATATTAAACTTGAGTGATGAGGATGACATGTCAGTATCTGGAAAATGCCGAATTCAAATCTGATTTTGTTTCGCTAAGTCCACGACTCAGAGATATCAATATCAGCGCCTGAGCACCATGGCACTAGTTCCAAGTCATTGCCCATCGTGCGGAAAGCAATTCAAGGACCATACCTCCGTCGCTCGTCATATGAGCCAACCTCGTTCTGGGTGTAATAGCTGGCTAGACGACTTAATCCAACTCAACTCCATCTTGCCACCTAGTACGGAACATGATCCCATGGTGGTGGATGACATCAATGACCCTCAAGTAGATGCGAGTTCCTATGATTTTTGGAGTCAAGGAGAGGATTTGGACTCTGAAGGTGGAACTCGGGACGAGGACAGTGAGGTCAAAGCAACCGACTACTTTCCGGAGCCCCTGCTGGCTTTCGAAGAGGGTTACACATTTTTAAGCTTATTCGATGCTGACAAAAACAGTATATATCGCAAAACAAATCTCTACTATCCATTCAGTGGTAGGAGGGAATGGTGACTTGCCGCGTGGCTTCTGCGTTCGGCCTTAAGCATGGAGAAAATAAATTCCTTTCTAGGGCTAGAGATGGTCAGTGTTTGATTTAATATTGCGATGATCACTTCTCTGAGACGGTACTTAGATCGATGACCTACCTTTATCCTTCCATTCAGCAAAAGAGCTACGTGGTCGAGCTGAATCGCTGCCTAGCGGTCTGCGTTGGAAGTCCCAGGTCATTCAAACGTTGCATCCCACAAAGTCTCCGGCTGTTCTTTACTGGCGGGATCCTCTTGAATGTATCGCTACGATATTCAACCATCCTTTATTTTGCAATTGTCTCGACTACACGTCTCGCAAGGAGTATAGCACAACGCAGAGGCACTCTCAGATATATACCGAATGGATGACGGGTGATCATGCCTGGGAGATGCAGGTATGTATTAGTCCCTCTTGAAGTCATCATCTCATTTGTTCTTGAAGTCAGCGCTTCCCCGTGGTGCAACTCTCCTCGGAACTATTCTATCGTCGGACAAGACATGCATTACTGCATTGTCAGGCGATCGTGTCGCGCACCCTCTCCTCATCAGCCTCGCCAACATCTACATGACCACGCGGCTCAAATCATCCTCCAACGCTTTCCTTCTCACTGCCCTACTACCGGTCACAAAATTTGTTCACAAAAACAAACGAATGAGAGGCGTGTTGCAGGATCGGCTCGTTCACAATTGCTTGAACATTGTACTCGAACTGTTGAAGCTCGCTGCTCGAAATGGCGTGATGATGTCAGATCCTATGGGTCGCAGTCATTACTGCTTTACTATGCTCGCTAGCTATATTGCTGACACCCCCGAGGCAATGATGCTGGCATGTGTTGGTGGAAAGACATCTCCAGTGACGATAGCAATGTACAAACAATTCAGGGATCCCTTCCAGCACGAACCCCGGACTCGAGCAAAAACTCTTGAGCAATTGAAAATCGTGCGCTCACGCGCTTGTCCAGATGATCTCGAAGCATTTTTCCGTGAGGCGCAGAAGTTTCGCCTAAATGGCGTGGATGAACCATTTTGGTGGGACTGGTTACTAGCAGAACCGTCCCGGTTTTTTACACCCGAATCGCTTCACCACATTCACAAGGAGTTTTGGGACCATGATGCGCAATGGATTATCCTTGCAGTGGGAAAGTCTGAAATAGATTTTCGTTTTTCAATCATTCAGCCCACTACTGGTTATCGGCACTTTCA